GGCCAACTCACCCAACTTGCACATCTTTGGACTGCAGTAGGAAACCCACGCAGACACGGTGGGAACGTGCAAACTCCACACAGTTGCCTACGGGTGGAATCAAACCTAGAACCCTGAAGCTATGAGGCAGCAGCGCTAAGCACAGAGCTACCACGCTGCCCGGTCAGCTGATTGGATTTTCCTTTCTGTAGTACAGGCACCTGAACTGATCAGTAGCAACCACACTGCCAGTGGTTGTGAGAAACAAACTCCACACAGACCCTGCTCTGTGCCACTAGATACATCTCTTATTGAGCATTTCAAATATGTTTCCTAAGCAACTTTATTGATGAAGCACAATCCTGCTCAAAAAAAATGTTTTCAAATTCAGTTCACTAAAGCTGTTTCATTAGTCATCTGCACCCTCTCCATCCTTACTCAACCATACTCTTTTTGAGCAATATTTTATTGCCAAGTGTGTTTGGCCCACTATAAGCAGACAGTAGATTCCTGAGTGGAGTCTAAAGTAATCTGTCACAGTCAGCAGTAACTTGATTTGAGGATAATGTCTATTAAATCTCTGCCGTGGGTCTCTACATAATTCATCTCATGTTCTCTCCTTCCCCTCGAACAGACTATCCTTCTGCAGAATCTCATTAAAATCAACAATTGTATCTCAGTATTAAAAGTACTGCATTTACCAGCAAACAGCAGAATGTGAATAAATCACTCAAGTACCAAACATTTGTTAATATCAAATTTGTACCTGTGCTCTCATCAGTTAAATATTTTAAAACTAAATTTTAAAAAATCTTTCAAAATATTGTTAACTAAATCATGAATTTGCCATAAACTTTCAATATTCTACTCAATGGGTCTGTCACAAAATGGTACATTTTAAGTTGAATAAATGCTTAGATTATCTAGAAGGGCTGCTCATTTACAGCTGAAGTGATTTTTAAAAAAAAAAAGAATTGAGATGTAATTTATGACAGGAACACAAGAGTGGAGTAGGTCATTCAGCCTGCATACCTATACCAGCATTCAGTGAAATCATAGCTAAGCTGTATCTTCGCTCAGTTTTCCCAACATGGTCTCCGTATCGACGTAGAACTTTGGCTCACAGAAATCTCAATCAGATTTAAAACAGATTGAACTGACATCTACTGCTTCAAGAGGTTGCATTTCCCATACTTCTACCAGGCTTTGCATGAAGAAGCCCCCTGAGACTTCCCTCCTGAACTGCTCAGTTTTAATTAAGATTATGCCCCTTTGTTCAGTTTGGAAGGATATCAAAGATCCCATGAGTATTCAAAGAGCAGAGGAGTTCTCCATGGTGCCCTGGCCAAGACTGAAGTCTCTCTCTACATCACAACAGATTATTTGATCAGGGTATTGCTGTTCGTGGGAGCTTGCTGTGCATAAATTAACTGCATTTTCTACATTACTACAGTGGCTATACTTAAAGGATGTCCCAAAGCCCTTTGCAGCCAATAGTTATGAAGGATGCTATACAAATGCAAGTTTTTTTTGAATGGCCTTCGACTTCAACATCAGCAGCAATGCTTCTCATATTTACCACATGAATTCATTTCAAATTTCCAATAAAATTGCTCCTTAACCTATTTTTCCATGGAATGTAATCTGGTTTAGATAATCACTAGAAGACCTTGTGTGTTCTGTTGGGTAGCATGGCTACCTCACACGCCAGAGACCAGGGTTCAATTCTACCAACAACCAGCTGTGTGGAGTTTGCACCTTCTGCCCACGTCTGTGTGGGTTTCCTCTGGATGCTCCAGTTTCCTCCCACAGTCCCAAGCATGTACAGGTTAGGTGGATTGGCCATGCTAAATTGCTCGCCGTGTCCATGGATGTGCAAGCTAGGTGGATTAGTCATGGGAAATATGTGGGGTTACAGGGTCTGGTTGGGATACTCTTTAGAGGATGGAGTCTACACCAATGGGCTTTCCATACTGTATGGAGTCTATGGCTTCAGAGGGAGAAATTGCATGAAAAGGAAGGTGAGCCAAAGTTCCAAAAGTAGATGCAAAGTAGTAATTGTAAAACAATAACTTGATGAGAAAATTGCAAAGTGTGAAGGTTAGAACCCATTTATACTTTGTCTAATCTCACCACATGGTCACTAAGTTCAGTTGGTTTCATCAAACCAACGCAAAAGTATCTGGCCCAGATCATGCAGAAATGCAGAACCTTGCAACTAATTATGAAACGTCAGACAGACAAAGAGACAGAAGGGAATACTGTAGTTGAAGGGGGAGGGAAATGCAGGAGACTTGTTATAGAGTGGGAGGAATGTGTTATAGGTATTAATTGGGGAAAAAAGACAGAGGCATGCTAAGGAGCACAGAAAAATAGTAAAGGTGGTGGGTGACTGGCGTATGGGTTTGTTTTTAAAAAAAGTTAATTCATATTTCTCAACTAATTTTGCATCCCTCCACATTTGGTTCCAAATATTAACTAATGAGAAGTGGGCTGCTGTTAAATTTGGATAGTTTTATTTCATCCATTAGAAAGTTAAACACATGGTTTAGAAAAATAATGTTCTCACAATAGGTCAATATACAAGCTATCATTGAGAGCTACCTGCCAGACAATGTGATGCTTATTTCCAATAAGAAAATCCAGCAGATCCATAAAACAAAAAAAAAAAAGCTCTACTTAATTGGGTAAGTGTTGGCAGTCCCCTTCGGACATCAACATGATGGCTGGTGTAGAAAATTTACTAGTGTAGTAATAGCTATTTTGAAGCTGATTGAAACTTTTTAAAATGGAATTTTCATTTGAGTGGAGCTTTAATCTGAATTGTAAAGCAGATATCTTTTAATAACATTTCCAATAAAAACAAATTTTTTTGAATGGTATATCAAAATTGCGATTTTGGCAAAAGACTTCAGACTTAATTATTTCATTCTCAGCAAAGCAAGAGAAACTCCAAGATGTACATTTTTGGCCATTTCTACAATCTTTTAATTTCAACATTAAACAATGTTCCTTTAAAATGCAACTTATTACTGTAGTTCCTTTCCTCTTTATGCAATTCCAAAACTCCAGTTCCATCCCAAAAACTTAGAGATTAAAATTGAGAGTCTGCTTCATTTTAAAATTCATTCATTCACAGGATGTGGGGAATAGCCTACGTCTAACTGCCCATTCCTCACTGCTTCAAGGTTGCAATGGTGAGCTTCCTTGAACCATGGCAGTCCACATGTGCCGGTTAACCCATAACACTGTCTGGGAGTGAGTTCCAAAACTTTGATCCAGTGATACTAAAAGGGCAGCAATATATTTCCAAGCCAAGGGAAAATGATCAAACAAAATCAAGCCACACTGGTCAAGACTGGACCAGAGATACTCAAACATTTAGCTCCTTGAGCCTGCTTCACCGTTTAGTAAAGATAATGACTGATTAAGTAACTTTTCTCATGTTCAATCCCACATAGACTCCTCCCTAACCACCTTCAATAGAATTCCTTTATCAAAAACCTAACAACCATGAACAGAGTCAGAGGCAGTGGCCAATCCCCCTTTCTAGGGAATTCCACAGACTAAAGACATTGGGGGTGGGGGTGGGGGTGGGGGGGTGGTGGTGGTGGTGGTGGAGGAGAATAAAAAAACCTGTCATCACAGTTCTTAAAAGTATAGGCATCTCCTATTTAAGTTACCCCCTAGTTTGATTCCCTCCGTAAGGAGATAACTTCTTGCCTTTTACCCTATTAAGCCTTCTCAGGACCTTGTGCTTCAATTAAATCACCTCACCACCTACTCCAAGGCAAAATATGCTCAGCCTTTTCACAACTCATCCATCCCAGGAATCAAATTGCGTAAACATTTTCTGAACTTCAAATGTAATTACATTTAGTAAATAGTAAGCCTAAAAAAAAACTGGGCAGTACTCCAGGCGTGACTTCACTAAAACCCTATACAGCTACAGCTAAACCTCCCCCCCAACTTTCATATTCCATTTCCCATTGCAACAAACGCTGACGTTTCATTTGCCTTTCTAATCACTTGGTGTACCTGCAGATCAATATTCAGATTTGTGCACCAGGACACATTCAGGTCCCTTTATATCAAAGAGTTCTGCAATCTCTCACCAAACATACTGCTTTTCTCTTCCTGCAAAAATAAAGTGAACAAATTCAATTTTCTTACCATGTATGCTTACTGCCAAAAGTTTAACCCAATCATTTAACCTGTCAAAATAGGATAATGTGGTGCCCAATAAATCTGGTTTAAGTCTACGGAAGGCTAGTTACTGTGACATAGTTAAATGAGGTTTCATGCTACACAGGAAATATGGAATGCTGAGTGAATAAGTTTAACGCTTTAAAGGCTTAAGTTTCGAGACATGCATGCAGTCCAGGACATTTGTCACTTTACAGTGCAAGCCACATTCAAAATAGACGCACAAATAATCCACAAACACTTTCAGTAAATCACAGGACCAAACACCACACTCCAGTCAAAAGCCTTTCCCCACGTTCTGATCCCTGCCATTATGAAAACTAAAACATCCACTTCTTTAGAGACAATTTCTGCCTCTTCATATTTAACTGTTGCCCAGGAACTTTTTACAGACTTGTCAGAGATTGTGAGATCCCCAGCAGGTGTCCTGTACAGGGGAGTCAAAATTTAAAATACAAAAAAGGAGGGAATAAGTTGTCTGTAGCTGAAGCCTCTGAAGAGTGTCGCTTGAGTTTATCAATGTAACTGAGGAGTGAGATTTTCTTTCAAAGTTGCTAGCCCAAAGCAATGCTCTTGCCCAGATGCAGCTGGACACTGAACATTCTCAAGGTGGGTGTGTGCGTGCATTCATGCAGTGCTTGGTTTGGAGAAGACAGGACAAGTGTTGAGGCCACATATAAATCAGACAGACAGTCATTAAATTATTGCACATTTGATAGGAACAGGATTAAGCCCTTTGTGCCAAGTCCTAGGTTCCTACCTACTTCTTTGATGAATAACAAGCAAAACATTAAATCAAAAGACAAAACAGAAAATATGCTTGCTGTAAAATTTTATTCATAGCAAAATAAATTTTGGTCCCAAACAAAAGCAGCCAGCATTTGATAAGCTTTTTTGTTGAAAATTCAGAGAGGAAACAGAATAAGAGCCCTTGTCATATTTTCAGATATATCCAATATTTGGGTCAACATAATAATGTTCAAAGACCTCAAAGAAATGCATCTCTACCAGTTTACATCGGTTGTACAAACTCTGTTATTCAAGTCAGCCTAGAGATTACCAACACAAATTTATGCAGATCTGCATATATAAACTGCCATTTCAGACCAATCACTAACATACTGTGGGTTTTAAACATAAAACCAGAAACCTACTGTAACTTGAGTGGCTTGTAATAAATCAGAATACTTTTGTTCCTCTTTGCTGATGTTTCAAGCATGTAAAAAAAGGTATCTGGCAATAGTTACTGCACATTAGCTTAGCATCTAAATTGCTGCCATTTAGTAAAGATTTTTAAAAATCTACACATGTACTAATGTACAAATCTTAAACACCCTGTCTAAATCTTCAGCACAAGTTCCAGTTTTAGCATGGAACAGATCTTTATATAATTGTTCAATTTTTCCCAGCTTTGCTACTTTCCAGCATTTCCAAAGCTAATATTTCAATGTTTATTCACATTATAAACCTGCACAGTCACAGGTGCTCTGTAGAGAAAGAAAATTTCAGCAATTACACCTTTTATGACTAAAACTCAAACCTCTGGCACCAGTGGAGAACTTATTTTTCAAAAAAAATAGGTTATTGTAATCTAGAAAGTGTGTGCCCTGACAAATACAATCCATTGTAAAAGCCAGGTCCTGTCCAGAAAGCCCTAATGGGCTGACTGCCACACATTTTAAATCAACCTTATCGAAGGTCATCGCACTGGCACCAGTCACCAACTGATACCTAAAACTTCCCAAGTGCAACCACTCAACATACAATGGAATAAGAAGCAGTCTGTATTAAAAAGACAACCTTCTGCGACTGTTAGTTTATGTACACTGTTCCCCAATGAAATATGGTTTATAAAAGGGCAAGGTTTAATAACAAAACCTTGAGGTTTCCACACTTCCACAGGGAAAATCCGCTCCATTAACTGTCAAGTGGAAATGATAGCTTTTAAATAGTTTTCCTTATCTGACCCATGATCTATGATCTATGCAATACATGCATATTTCACAATGAACTCCCATTTCTGCGCTGGGGCTACTCACTTTAGCTTGGAGACACACCAAGTGTAGCAGATTGCTAAAGCCAATGGTGAATTCAATTTACTGATATAACTCATGAAGTCAAGATTGCAGATAACTGATCAGACCAACTTAGCAGTAAAAACATAACCTGAACCTTATAGGAAGCTAACACAACCCCAATAGAATTTGCATTATCAGGAGGCTCTTAGTTCTATTCTTCAACTACAGGACATTTATAAACAACACAGCCACTGAATGCAATCTGTTCTTTCTACAGACAGCTAACCAGAACTGAAAGGCAGATTATAATTACAAGCCATTCAAGTGACATGCTGAACATTTCAAGTACACTTGTACAGTTAGATTATACAAAACTTACTGCTGTTCTGTAGGTATTGGGTCAACAAAACCTCAACTCAGATTCTGAGATATCATGCATTTTACTGAGAAACCTTAAATTGGAGAGATAATATGAACAGGCTTTTAGTGCAAGAAAACACTGCTTTCTTTGACTTTCTTAAAAACAAAAACCTTGGTCAAACACAACAGACTTCGAAATTATAACAAGCTTACACAAACCTTGGAATCTCAATCACAGCCAAGGAAGTTCATGGACTACACCAAATTAGCTCCAGACAAAGACCCAATTTTCTTTCTGTATGTTTGTAGCTTTTTCAAATATTTTAAATAGAGCAAAGAAGGCGGCCAAGATAAAAAAAAGCATTTAGTTCTTTGGATTTAGCACTTTGGAATCCATTTTAGTGCTTTAAATAGTAAAATACAGAAGTACACAAGCTTATTCTTAAATTCTTTTAAATATTAATGGGGGGTACCAGTGAGAAATTTGCTGCTAACTTCACTTTACTTCTAGGCTTCCTGACTGGGCTGGCAGTAACTTCCAGGTGTGGTGACTTGATTTCTTGTTCATCCTCGGGTTGACACGTGGTAGGAAGATTGTCTTTAATCTGGTTGGTAATACTGCCACTGGTAAAAGCCTCTTCAGTCATAGCTGCGGGAAGGACAGTCTTCTCCTCCTCTGTCAAGATCAACATATCTGTTTAGAAAGTTATATAGTATTACATCACATTTGAAGACTTGATTATTCCATGTTAGAAGCTAAATTGACATTAAAAAGCTTCAGATATAATTCTAATTCAAATACATTAAAAAGCATCTCTTGCAACTGAAACCAACTCAATATTCAGCCAACAGCTTCATCACCAACTTTTATAATATTTTAAGATTTTGCTTTGGGGTAAAAAGGATTGTGTAACAGGTTCTTTGCAAGATCACTGACAAACAAAACTCATTCATCTACAGTTTAAGTATGAGCTTCATTTATAAATCTTTGTAAGTAGACAAAATGTTTCATTTGGGCTAAGAGCACAATGGTAATAGCATTGCTGATCAGTGATTATGATCATTTGCTTTGAGATGAAGCAATTGATTCCAGAGTTATTATCTTCACTTTGTTCTTTATTCCCCATGACATTTCCCTACTTTGTGGTTACACACAATTAGATCTTCACTTGCTTGGTTTCTTTGTTCTGATAAATCTAAATCCTCTATGCCTCATTGCAAAACTACTTGCAGATTGTGAGATTAAAATCAGATCAGCCACGATCTTGTCGAATTGCGGAACAGATTGGAAGGACCGAGTGGCCTATTCTTGCTAGTATGTATTATTTAGCCCATTGTTCCCTTCTCGTAAATGGAGAGAGTAAGTTAGATCTGAGAAATCTGTAATTTGCTTGGTGAAGTTCTAAGATACTGAAAAATGAAAACAAGCTAAAAATGCTTTCAATGAAGGAATTACAAGTAGGCACACCCATTAGAAGGTATAAAGAGAATCTGAAGTGAACGGAGGCTTAGACAGACAGTCTGGAATAAAAGACAGCAAGATAACAGCAACAAGGAAGCTAAGAAATATTTTGTTTATGTTTCAGAAAACTGAGCACAAAAATCGAAGCAATTATTCTTGCTACTTTGCCAGAGATGCTGTCTTTTGCGGGAGATATTAGATGACAGTCACGTCTCCCCCAGGCTGACAAAAAAACTTCCACAATGATCTCCCTTGGTGTGCCAACCAGTAGTTATTTCTCAGCCAACAATAGGTAACTGGGTTACATCTCGTTGTTTTATGGATCCTTACTGCAGACAAAGACTACTACAGTGACTATACTTCAAAAAATATTTCACTGGCTGCAAAACATTTAGGGATGCCCCAGGATCATGAAAGTGCTTTATTAACGCAAGTCTTTTTGCAGACAGACTGGGATCAGGCAGCTTAGTTTTAGAAGCCATATGATACTAAGTAAATAGATTTTTAGCTACTTGTTTAATAAATTATACTTCTTCCCATCCTAACAGGCTTTGAGCGCATGCAGAGTTTTAATCCACTATATGGAGAACTTTGACAGCATTTTAAAGTGAGAAAAAAGTTTGCTTTCAACCTGCAACATTAGGTGATTGTTCTTCAAATCGGATAAGATCAGCATTCTGAAGAACGACTGGGTCTGGTCTGAGCTGAGGGGATGGCAAGCATGATGGTACAGGTCCACACAGCAAGTCAACAGGCGACTGGTTACCAAGACAAAGAAGCTCTTGTTCAGTCTGATTTGAACCTATGATTTAGGAGTGATAAAATATTACAGCATGTGCACATTACTGAACATGTTTAGCAGTCAATGCCCTCATACCATATAATGTTTTAATTCAAAATACTATGTATTTTGGAACAACAGGTACCTTTTACATCAATCTTACTTTATGAACAGCAAAATACTATTAGACATTATGGAATAAGAAATTAAATATCCATGCTTTCAATCTTTGACACTTCTGTCATCACTCTGCTAAAATTTGATGATTTTGGCAGGCTTGCAGGATTCAGGTCCAACTTGTAACACAAGATTTACTTGAGGCTACAACCACCAAAAAACACCCAATTTTAATGTTTCTGTGACCAAGGCACCTCATTTTGCCACTTGTATGGAAGGCCTGCAGGCATTCCAAACTGTTAGTTATTTCAAAGCTTCCCAAAATCTTGGCCAAGACCATGCATATTAAGACTAATGCTATTCTTAAGCATTATCCAGCTCTCAAATTACAGTTGCCACAATCAGTTTGGACTGGAATCAGTGCTATGAGAAGGCAACGGATTAAAACCTTTCCTTTGCATGTATGTCAGAGAGTTTTTGAAAAATATTTATTTTCATAACATGGATGATACAGGCAAAGCTGGTGTTTACTGGGCACATGGTGCCCTAATTTAGGTGGCAAGACACCATCTTAGAACTGCTGTTGTCTGCCTGGTGAATTTGCTACCAAAAATGCTGTTAAGGTAGAGCACTGCAAGATGTTAACCGAGTGACAATGAAGAAACAGCAATACACGCCCAAGTTAGTGTGGAGGGAGGCTTGGAAGTGATGGCATGTCTTATTGCAGGGCTGGAGTGGACTAAGTATTTTATGAGATCTATTACTTACAGGAGCTGTCAGTTTCTAACTCCTTTGTTTCATTGCTGCTGGAGTTCTGTACAGCCAAAGTTACTGGTCGTTTTAGGTCTCCTTGCGTCTGTCCACATTCTTCAACCATGCATGCAGGAGAACAACATGCAGAACTGTTACGAACTGGGATTGGTGTTGGCGGGGTGGGGGCGGGGGGGGGGTCAGTGTTGACGGAAGTGTGGGGGGAGATTGGGAGACAAAGAAAAAGAAACAAAAAGATGATAAAAACACCATGAAAAACTGCAGTTTAGTATAGAAGTAAAAAAGTTCGAGTATCAATTCACACCTAGATCAGGGAGCTTTTAAGATGTCCAGTAACAATATTACAATTTTATTTTACTTTTCTGGTCGAATTGTTTTTATTATTGGCTCACAGAATCCGGGCGTTGCTGGTTCAGTCAGCATTTATTGCCCATCCCTGGTTGCCACTGAGGTGGTGCTGAGCTAAGCTAATCCTCGGTGGTTCAAGATGATAAAGGTTTGTGGATGTGGTGCCAATTAAGCAGGTTTGTGTGGTCTGGATGGTGTTGAGCTTCCCAAGTGCTGTTGCAGCTGCACTCATCCAGGCAAATGGGGAATACTGCATCATATTGCAGATAGTGACCAGGCTTTGGGGAAAATCACTCACTGCAGGATTCCTAACCTCTGACCTGCTTTTATAGCCACAGTACTAATATGGCTAGTCCAGATCAGTTTCTGATATTGATCGTGGGAGTTTCAGAGATTGTGTTGAATGTTGAGAGTCAGCTGGACAAAGGTCTTTCCAATATCTCTAAACTAAGGAATGAAGTAGCAGGAAAAAAGTTTTTATATCGAGATTTCTTCCTCACTAGTCTATAGAAGACAAAGTATTGCAAATAAGATTTGCATAAAATTACTTGATGCCACTATGAACAGAAGAACCAGGAGCAGAAGTAGGTATTCAGCCCCCTATCCTGCTGTGCCATTAGATACAAAAACATAGCTGTTCTCACCTCCCCATTTTCCATAACTCTTCAACTTATTACTAATTAAAAAAGTATCTACCACCTCAAGTTTATTCAACACCTTGGCATCCACCATAATCACAGGTGTGAATTCCATAGGTTAATGACTCAGAAGTAATTTGACCTCATGTTTTATATCTTCTGCCCCTTAGCCTAAAATTATGAACTTGTGTTCTAGATTGTCCCACAATCACCCTCTCTACATCTATTTTGTCAATCCTCTTTAGCATCTTGTATACCGCAATTAGATCGCCTCTCATTCTTCTAAACTCAAGTGTCTTGGCCTAAACTGCTCAAATTCTCTTCATAAGTGAAACCTTTCATCTCTACAATCAATCTACTGAACCGTCTCCAATACAACGACATGCCTCTTCAAGGGGACCAAAACTGTAGACAAAGCTCCATGTGCAGACTCATTAATGCCTCACTGTTGGAAATTCAATTTTCTTCGCTGTGAAGATGATGTGGGGCAGATAAAAAAAATGTTTACCAAAAATTTGCATTTATAGTTTCTCTTTCTGGCTACTGTAATAGTAAAATAATTTATAGATATATTTACAAAAATGGCAAGAAACAAACAGCAACGGTTAGATTTCTAAAATAAACTACACCTTTCATATCATTTTTTAGAACGACTATTCTTTTGTGTCCATGTCCTTTTATCCAGATGACCTGTTCAAAAACAAGGAAAATATTGTAAATTTAAAAACTCCACAATCACTTTAAAAAACAGCTAAAAAGCTCTAAAATACTGGTTGCCATTTCATCCCTTATAATAATCCATTTTCTGGATGTCAAAGTCATGCTCATTCTTCCACATGGGGTCACTCTTACGAAGTGCCAAAACCATCAAATTGACGAGAGTTTTCAGCAACTATCTGCCCAAATTTATCAAACTGAAACGTGCATCTTCAGGGACCAAAGAAATGGATCCTGGACCACTCTGCAAAGTTCAACTTAATAACTGCACAATGCCACTTCAGTGAACAGTGTGGGAGAATATTTTCATTACATTAAATATACTTGATTTGAACTAATGCCAGAGAGATCTTTTTTTAAAAAAAAAATCAAACAAGTTACAGCATCAGACATTCCATAATGGCCTGAAATCTACAGTGATGATAAAGGAATGGCTTCTGCCATACTAGCTCAGATTGACTGGTCATCTCACCAGAGATTTATTAGTCTGACAGTAGTTTGAATTCAGGATCCACTGGTGAGGATCTATGACATGTCAGAAAAATGCAAAAGTATAAAACTACATTCAAATAAATTTTTACACAAAGCAAATATATAACATGAATATTAACATGATCAAACCAAGCTTTCAAAAAAAAGCTACATTAATTGAGAGAATTAAACAGGTCACATTTTCTTCAGACTCTGAGGGGCTGTTCAGTGTATACTAAGTTTTATAAAAATAAAATGGCATATTAATTGTATATACTCGAGCCTTTCCAGCCAATTAAAGCAAGAATGTTGGGTGATTAACTGCAGGTCGCCTCATGGGTTATCTCTGTGCAGAGTCCAACAATCAGCAACAGAGCAATCTGACAGGAACATGGGCTGCAATGACCAAACTTTCAGATTACTACATTTAATGCAAACCAAGGGTACAATTTAACCTTCGTCTAATGTTTTGCTAATTTAGTACATAAAGATTCTCCAGAATAGGCCATTACAAGTGTTAGATGTAAATACACAACAATTGGGACCCAGATGAAGCGTTTAACTGTTAATATTCAGCATTAATCCTGACTGTGGCACACAGATTTCACTCAGTTAAGTACTATTTAGTTTTGAAAGCTGAAGTTGAATATAGTTCATTAGTCTAGCACTTCTATTTTGATTAACTTTCTAGGTCAAATCAGTAGAAGATTCCAAGTGACTAAAGCCAATATAAACATTTTTAAAATTAATTCCCTTCCAAGAGGGTAAGACAATAAGAAAACTATTGATTTGAATGTCAAAACAGGGACGGGGGAATATATTAAGGGAAGAACTTTCAAAAGGCACTGAATTTAAAACTGTAAATGCCTTTGTGCTTTTGGGGTCATTTTACATTAAAACAAACAGTCAATGGGAATTTTGTCACTGCAAATTTGTTCCACACCAGTATGGCAAACCAGACTGGCCCAAGGATACTAAACTGCCATCTGTGGAAAGAACCAAATTATAGAGAAAATATTGCATAAACTTAACAACAAATAACATGTACTGAACAGACAGCTTTACCTGTGGTATAGCAATGAGAAGATCCTCAATACTGGAATACCCATACACTTTTGGCTGCAGTACTTCACCTGTGTACTTGTGATAAGTGGAGGGAAATTCAGTCAGAAAAATCTGCTGGTAGTGGTACGTGTGTAGCAAGGCTCGGACATTCTTGGCAAATTGGTACACTTTTGTCAGTTTCACATATTCTTCTCCAGTGTCATCAGTGAATACCTGCCACAAGTGAACACCCCAAAAAAGGAAGTTTAATAACATCATTCCTCATTTAAATCCTGTCCAAGTTACTACAATACAAAATTAAGAAAACACGGCAACCTACTATAAAGTAAAACACAAAACAAAAAAAAGTGTGAAATTTCTAACACCTGGAGCCTGCAAACATTGGGGCAAATAAACTTTCATTTTTAAATTCGGGCATCACACAACAGGCCTTAAACGGGAGTTGAAATTTATCGTGCTACACAATTTGTAGTAAGTGATGATTTGTTTTATATATTAAGTTAGGATATAGCATGATCCATATAAAACCTTAATGTAACTACTCAAACTGGAAAAACGAGCTCATTTTGAACATCCCCTCCCCTTCAAAACAAAGTATTGTGCAAGTAACCATGGTGTCGTAACTAACAGGATAGTAACAGTACTACCAGGATTTCTCAGACTGATTGCATTAACTAAAATACAAGTGATGTAAAAAACAACAAAACCATGTAGATTAATGGGACGTGTTGAATTACTGATCTGGCGTATCTTGACATTTCAATGTTGGAGGCAGTACCATGATTCATAAAATGCTTTTTGCACTATAAATTGAAACAATGCAATGATTGCAATGTACATTTAATCTGAAGTCCAAGTACAAAAAACTGTATTCCATGTGATTGGGATAGGAAGGCTTTGCTGCATCTGTTACAAGGGCATATATTATGGAAACATGGGATTCTTCCAGGGATTAAGTTTGGTGCTTCAAGGTCAAGTACATTTTGGTATAGACATCAGGAGAGGACATAGTGAAGGTAAAATGTAAGGCAGTGTGGAACACTACAGGGAGGATCCTACCTTGTAATGTAAAACATCCGCATCCAGCAGCCTTAAAGACCTGGACTAAAGACCAAATCAGCTCCCAGCGCAAAAAGACAATTTTTGAATGCTTTAATAAAGTATTAATTAATAAACCAAAACAAGTTGCTAAAGATGGAAGAAATCTCTCCCATACCGTCCGTTTTTAAAGCTCTTTGGCTCCCAACATGTGAAATCAAGTAAAATATCTTCAGATACAAGGAGATTTCTATTAGAAACTTCTATAGCACAAGGTGAAAGAGGACACATGTACTTCAATTCAAGACAAGGAGCAATTGGGAGGTGGGGGTGGCAGGGGTGAAATGAGATTATGTTATGTTATGTGAATGCTCTTAAAAAAAAAAAAAGTCAGAGGCAAACATGCAGCAATTTTCACAGGGGGAGGGATCGATTATACAATCCCAGCAATGAAATACAGCAAACAAACATTTTATTAACCAGCACCTATAGGACCAGAGAGAGTGTGCAGTTGATCAAGAGGTTTGCATAAATCAATGTAAAAACACACATTAAGTAATAGAAACATAATGCAGTGGGCATACACTTTTTTTTTTAAATTTACAGCATAAATCAAATAATAATGCAACATTGCCTCAAATAAAAAAGTTACTGGCTGACAGCCTTCGCACACATCCTGAACTGACTGCTTGGACATTGTGATAATATAGTAAGCATCTGGTATTTTAGTATATAATTTTTGCCAGTTTTATCAAGTGTGCTGGTTAATAAGATACCAGTTAAAACAAAGTTTGCTGTAAAAGCAATTTTCATAAGCTACCATAAACAATAATGCCAGCTAAAAAATTTCAGAATTCGTACCTCAACCAGATAAGGCAAACTCTTCAACAACTCTGTTAAAGACATGAAACCATATTCAGAGGGAACAAGAGGACTTCCATAGGTTGCATCAAAACGCTTTTTAAGATCATCAACTGTGAGGCACGAGACATCATCCAGAGACATCAGCAGCACAAGAAGTTGAGCAGTTACAGTACGAAGGGACTTTCTATTTATCAACTGGAGCTGTTTACCTTTTGGTGTGCTGCAAATCTTGTTGTGGGGTGGAGAAAAAAATGAATGAGACTTAATTTGGAGTTGTCTGAATAAAAAAGTTGCAGTACAGCAGTCAATGCAAAGTAACTATGCAACATACCTTTGCAACATGGCAGAGTTTCTGCATAAGCTCTGCAACAGTATTGACATCATAATCTTGCAGGCGCAGAGTATATCCATATGTATTGTTATATTCCAGAAGGAAATCAGAAAGTGTCATACAATTGTCCTTTTGTGATCTTAGCAATTTAACAAGCTGGGCTGTCAGTGCTTTAATTTGCTCGTTTTCAGTTAAAACAAGGAATTTCTCCTCTCCACATTCCAGGACCTGTAGACAACATCATTTGCAATATAGCTCTATAAACATCTGAAAGTTCACAAAATGTGAGGTGTCTTCTCAAAGAATCATAATGGGTAATAAACTACTCACTACAATCTAATTCTGCCAAAATCAGTATACTAGGTGGAAGTTCTCAAGCACTTCATGTTGGCTAGAGAAAATGACTCCAATATTAACCTAGCTAATTAAACCACCATTTAAAATTAACATTTCCCATTTAACCACTGATTAGTACATCATTTAAAAACTTGAAAATAACATATGTATGTAGTCTCATGACTGTAGATAGAGCATATCTAATTCAACGTGTGATCAAATCAAAACTGAACATTTCAGCATTAAATATAAACGCTTCCAAAAATTAATTGAAGGAAAACATTTTTTGCAATTCACATTTTACTGATTGGTCAAAAATGTGTACTAATTCTAGTTAGTTTACAGTATTACATTTAATCTACTAAATTCTGTACCACCTGCTTAAATTTCAACACCACACATTCCTTTCAGGAATGCTGTGCTCAATAAAGTGACAATACTAAACTTATGGACTAATTTTCTAACACTGGATACCGATAAGTGATAAACCAGAAAGACTAAAATTAAAACTGCTATAAGTCAACCAGCAATGAGGGAGTGTGCGTTTCCAGAAACCATTTGCTTGGATATCTCTTATATTCCTGGCTTCCTGTAGTTAGTCAAATTCACACGGGCTTTCACTCACCTGCAACACATCAGGTATAGCTTCGAACAGTTCCATGAGTTTGTTAAATCCGTAGTAAGTGAGCTTGCATTGACGTCCAAAGTGATGGTGATAAGCAGGTATAAATTTATTGAAGGGCATACGGCAATGAGATTGATGCCGCAATAAATCCACAACCTCTTTAGCAAACTGTTTTGTCCTCTCTATTTCTTCTGGAGTGCGTTCTAGATTAAAATTCAAATAATTTTCAAAGACTGAACACAAGTTGCAATTTTTAAAAGCATATGAAGTTATTCATGTTAAGTTCAGTAGCATATTAAAGCGAAATTACAATTTGAAGATTTATAGGCCAGAACAATTTTAGCAATATTGGTGAATGACCTGAGCTTTACCCCTGGCCAACTGATGAGTGGTTTTTAAAAATTTTTTTTTTTTTTTTTAATATAAAAAGCATACACACAATTGGGAAATAAGGGAATTTCAAAATTTGTTTGACAATGCCATCACTTGGTCTGAGCCACAAACATCTGTTTACATAGATTTCCAATCGCAATGTTTACACAATGCATGTTTGAAACTGTTTGCGCGAATGGTTGCTTAGTTACACTACTACTGGACTAGGAAACCAGTAATTGTACATCGAAAATCTCATCCAAGCCTGTTGCAAACCCACTATAAAACGGACGAGCTTGCTGGATAGTTATAAATCCAAAATAAATTTATGAATTTTCTTCAATAAATGGAAAATGTCACCTCTATCCAATCTGGCCTAGATCAAATGTGACTGATTCATAGCATTAGAGCAACTGGGAATGATGGTAAATCCCAACATTTAGGAAAATCATAATAGCAAGCGTGCATATACACAATGCATAGACTGCTGACAATAGAATCAGAATCCCTACGGTGTGGAAGCAGGCCACTTGGCCCATCAAAAATCACACCAATCCTCTAAAGAGTATCCCACCCAGACCGATATCCCCTACCCTATCCCTGCAGACCTGCATGGTCAATCCATTAGTCTGCACATCCCTAGACACAGTGGGCAATTTAGCATGGCCAATCCACCTTGTCTGCATATCTTTGGACTGTGGGTGGAAACCGGAGCACCTGGAGGAAACCCATTCAGGCACGGAGAATGTGCAGACTCCACAAAGACAGTCGCTCAAATGGTGGAATCAAACCCGGGGTCCCTGGTGCTGAGAGGCAGCAGTGCTAATTACTGAGCCACCATGCTGCCCTTAGGGTAGGTGACATTGTTCATCACGTAAAAAAGGCCATCATCTCTCCCTCTCTCTCATACACACACCCCTGGCCACTGTAAGAAAAATAAGTCTCACAGGAACCAAAAGTGGCCAGAGACTTGCTTCTCAGTGCATTTTGCATGCATGACAAAGCTGGTGCAGCAGCTGAGTTAACAGGAACTTTGGCATAGTTCTTTTATATAAAGAAAATGAATACAACAGATCAATTTAATAAGAAAAAGCACCTCGCTTAGGAATAGAAATCACAGTATCATCATCCTGTTGTGAAACACAAATTGTAGTGTCCGGTATTTCTGAAAGAAGATCCGCCAGTTCACATACACCATAGTCTGTGACATTCCAGTCCTTCGAAAAACACCTAACAGAATTAAGATGCAGAAAAGTGAATCCAAAATGGCTTTGTCATCCAAACTTTCTCACTGTTTCTTGATTAGGCACTATAATTTATGAAAAACCGTATACTCGATTGCTCCAAGTTACTAACTTCTACACACAGAAGTGTTACTTTTCTTTGCTCATTAATGGCATGAGGGTGTCGTTGGCTAGGCAGCATTATTGCCCCTCCCTAATTGCGCAGAGGGCAATTCAGAGTTAATCGCACTGCTGTGGGTCTGGAGTCTCATGTAGGCCAGACCAGGTAAGGATAGCAGTCTCTTTTCCTAAAGGACATTAGTGAACCAGATGGGTTTTTCCGACAACCAACCATGGATTCATGGTCATCATTAGATTCTGAATTCAAATTCCACCATCTGCCATTGCGGGATTCAGACCCAGGTCCCCAGAACGTTACCTGGGTCTCCGGATTAACAGTCCAGCAATAATACCACTAAGCCATTACCTCCCCTTGTAGTGTGGCTCAATACATACAGATATTCAATGGATTTGCTAGTTTCTCTAAAATATCACACATCTCAGGCTAATGTGTCAACATCACAGTGCCATAAGACTCCCTCCTTTTTCACACGCCAAGTTTGTAAACTCAGGTTAATGCCATCCCTACAAATAGCCTCTAACAACTAGATTCATGTTTCAGCTGACCTTCATATAAAGTAAGAGAGGATGCTTATACTCTGGAGATACAGAATTAGTATGCACAGGAAAAGATGACTAATTCCAGCCACCAGTGCTAGTCAACAGGTTTTACATTGACAAGAATTTCAGAGTGGGCCCAGAATACCGACCTGCAAATATGCAGCCTACTCCAAGAGCTGGGAGAATGTCTATAGGAATGACTGATTCGTTACTGTGCAGAGGATTATCCAGCTAAACTGGGGCAGAGAGATGCAGCTAGATGCTGACTCCAGATACCAAGGTAAAAAATATCCATTCCTTAAAGAAACTAAGTTTCAATAACTAAACAGAATTTAAGGATCACACTTACCAATGATATGCTTGTCCGAATTCTCTTATGAAAACCTGTTTACTGGCTTGAGATTTGAGAAGTTTAAGTAGATCTTGGGTAAAACGTTTTACTTGTGCTCGATGCGTTAATGTAAGTAGGCGTTTAGCGCCCAAGCCAAGGATCTATAATAGGGGTAAATCATTCAGATTGCAGTGGTCAACATACAAGAGGACAGACCTGAAAATTCATAACTTTCAATGGCAAGTTATTAGGAGTACGATTCTATGTAGTAAACATATGGGTTTTTAATAAGCTTTTTGTATAAACAAAATGCACAACTTGATCAAAAAACAAGAAGGATTTTTATGATATCGCACTGCAATTACTTTCGTTTAAAATCAGGTGACAATGTACAGACTTAGGAGGGTACAACATATACAGTTTCTTCATTGGTGACATTTTCAAACAAATAACCCAATTATTTGATTGTCAAATATTTTCTTAGAAGATAAGACACAAGTGCCAATAGCAGAGATTTATTTCATCTGACAGTACATTGGTTCAAGCATTTGTGCAAACTCACAGAATCAGTGAGATCTCATGAGGCTATTGATAGTAACAGATCATTACAACATCAGAGCAGTACTTCATGGTAGAAATCAAGGCTAAGAAGAACCATTATAGCAAGCAGTAGTGAAGATGCTATAAAAGCATCAAGACAGGTGAAGCATCAAGACAGGTGAAGCATTGAAACAAAAGCTGCAATAGTTTTCCATGGAAAAGGCCAAACAAGCATCTCAAGGCAGATAGAGGGAGAACAACAATTATGGATTGTGATAGGATTATTTTTTTTTTTTTTTATAAAATGACACAGGATATAAAAGTGTATTGTCAACATAGAATGCAGGAATTCACATCAGATAGAAACCTCAAACCTAATAGAGACGTAGGTCTGGACTAATTTTCTCAACCAAAAAACTTCAAACTGACAATTTCACTTTTGGATACTGGTAACTCTCACCTCGCAAGAAAGATTTAAAATTTCAAGTTGTAAAAAAAAAAGCAACTTCTGCCTATACATATATCTCAGATTCGTTGCAAAGGCAGAAGAAACTAGAACCAGTAATACCCATGTAAAATTTGCAAAAAATTGTAGGGAGGCGGAAAAAGAACTTAAAACACAATTTAGTTGACATTTTCACAACAATACTCATTGGTCATGAAAGCCTAGAACTGTGGTTTATGTTTAAAGCTAATTTCCATTCTATGAAACTCACCTGCAGAACATGAGGCACTGCTTCCAGCAACTCCACTAGTTTGGAAAAGCCATAGTCTGAAACTCTGCATTGCTTCCCAAAATGGTGATGGTAGGTTGGTATAAACTTATTTTGACATATGAAACAGTGAGCCTGGCTCTTTAGGAGATCGATTACTTCTCTACTAAACTGAATAAGCTGAGGATTTCCTACAGGACTTTTACATCGTAGCAACCAGGGATCTATAGAAAAGTATAGAGCGGATTTTCATTTCAAGTTTGCATGTAAGAGACACTGTACCATCAAATCATTACAACTTATGATCAGCTATTCCACAAATAATATTTCAATAAGTTACAAATTTTAAGTTTTACCAGAATCAAGCAATTTTCACAAAACTAGCAGCATATAATCCAGACTTCATTAACAAACTTTTTTCTGAGACACGCTTGATATTCTACATAGACATTTCCCATTCCGGGGGCACGGTTCAGAGAACAATTAAAATGAGAATTTAAACAGCTTCTCTAAAGACAGAGTTCCAAACCAGATAGATGACAAGCTTCAACTAGCCAGATATCTGTGCTATAAGCCCATCCTAAAATAGCAAATAAATTTTGCAGTCGTAAATCAAAAAACATCAAAAACCCTGGTGTCTGAAATTAGGTCATGAGGTCAATGTGGAGCTGATGGCCTAGTAGTATTATTGTTAGACTATTAATCCAGAGAGTCAGCTAATGTTCTGGGGACCTGGATTCAAATTCAGACAAGATTAAATTGAATAAAACAAATCTGGAAGTAAGAGTCTGATGTCCATGAAACAATTTAATTGTTGGAAAAACCGATATGGTCCATTAATGTCATTTATGAAGAAATTTGCCATCCTCAGCTTGTCTGGCCTACATGTGACTCCAGGCCCAAAACACTGTGGGTTTCTCTCAACCACCCTCTGAAGTAGCCTCACATACCACTTAGTTATACTGCAGTGGTTCAAGGCAGCTCACTAGCACCTTCTCAAAGGCAACAAGGGGCAGGCAATAAATACTGGCCAGCTAAAGATGCTTACATTACACAAGTGAAAATAAAGTAATCGACCTGAGCAAAGAGAAAAAATGCATTATCCGTCATGGCATTAAACATAGCTTGATTTTCCAGAGAGAATCTTCAGTTTTTCTAGTGTTCCTTCGATTCTGTATTTTTACAAGAACAGGTGCTCTGGATTAACTGCCTTTTAAAATTGTATATGCCTTTCACAAGGCTCTCTTCCATTTCCCTCAAATTTAGAGCCTGAATGTTTCTTTATTTCCACATCATTCATTTTGCCTAACCGCGAGGGTAAAATTTTACAGAATTTTGCTAGACTATTTTCTTAAGCAGGGGGTAATTGCCTTGTTTTTTTGAAGACTACACTGAATGCAGCATTTAAGCTGCTGACTAGGCCCGAGGTGTTCTACAATTTTGGCACTGCAATCTTACATATTTTTTACTAGAGGATATGGAACCTCAACTTATTCTAAAAAAGATAAAGTTCAGAGAAAGTTCACTAGGATGGCGTCTGGTAAAATGAGCTCTCTGTTGTGCAAAGGCTAACAGGTTGGGACTCTATTCATTGTAGATTCCGGAAAATGAAGGGTGATCTCATTGAGACATATAGGACTCTTAAGGGGCCTGACAGGGTAAATGCCTCGAAGAGTCTCGGACTAGAGGGCATAGTCTCAGATTAAAGTGGTGCCAATTTAAGACCAAGATGAGGAGCAATTTCTTCTGAGGATTCTCTCTTTGAAACTTTTTGCCACAGACAGCTGCAGAGGCAGAGTTCTTGTATGTTTAAAGCTGAGAGATAAGTTATTGATCCTTGGGGCAAGCAAAGGTTATGGGGAAAGGACAGGAAAGCAGGCATGAGGAATGCCAAACTGGCCACAATCCTATTGAATTGGGGGAGCTGGCTCAAGTGGTTGGGCAGCCTACTCCTGTTCTTATTTCTTATGGTGTTACTTAAGAGCCATCTCATTGTTCAGATTTCACATTCAAGTATGCTGGAAAATCAGGATACAGAGCAAATTTGACTGTAATGTGAGGTTGGTGTGCCAAATACAATCAATCAATCACTTTTTTCCTGGAGGTGATACTACCTATAATTATCCACAAAATGAAAAATAGTTCCACGGCAAACAAGCATCACTGTTCTCCCCACAAAAACCTAACCAGAAAAAAAGTTTGTAGACTGACTGCAATGAGGATTAACATGTTCAGTGTGTTCTTAAAAATAGGCAGAACTCAAAAATAACCATATACTAAATGCCTGAGTGTTTATGCACCACTAACATTGCTATATTTACATTTACATGTAATGCTTCAACTCAGCCTGTGTCCTAGGACACTGCAACAGCACCATTTGCAGACAGATGCAATTACAAAGCAGCACCTTGCCTAGTTTGATTAAAAGCTGAGGCCTGAAGCATTGAAAAGATAAAATGCATGATAAAAATAAGCACTGAATTATACATATTTGACCAATTACTCTCCATGCTCCAACTTAGCCTTATCTAAAAGGCCTTTTAAGACTTTCAACTTCCTGTGTGGAACGCCATAGCAGAATTACTAGCTGTTAAACAATGTTATTAAAATGAATCTTAAGCATAAGAGAACAAACGGCTCTACAGCCCTTAAAAGCTCTCACTAGGCTAAAATTAACTTTATAGTTCAAATAAAGTCAGAATAACCATAGCAATTACATTCATTCTTAAATATTACAGTATGCATGCACTGTTTGAATGAGGAACTTGTCAACTTACCCACATTAGGTGGTGGAGGCTTGTTCTGCACCCATTTCACAACTTTAATGCCATCCTGTGCAGTGACAATGTTAACACCAGGGACACAGGTTATGAGGTGCTCCAAAGGAACACCACCTTGCCCCTCCTCCACTATCTTCAATACAGTAAATTCTGCAGCATAACAGTCCAGAAAGCTATAAGATAAAAAAGTGTTTATATAGTCCAATGAAAATCAAAAATAAATCTAAACTCTAACTGGATAAATAAAACTCTGCTCATTTACATACATCAAGGAGGCCCAAAACGTTCATATGAAAACCAAAATTAAGTATGTTTAAGGCTTAGGTTAATGTGACCTGAGGGAGAAGTTATTACAATGACTTCGTTTCAATATTACTGCAAAAACTCTATGGATGTATTTTCTATTATAAATCAAGCCTGTACAATCTCAGACTAGTCTTGATCACTAAAAAGGTAAAAGTGGAATTTGAATTTCCCTCTTTACCTGGGCTCTCAGTCCAATTTTTCAGTTTTCCTTGGCTATTATATGAATTACACAGGGTCTGAACATACTGTAAGCTAAAAGGGTCTGCCATGAAGCAGTGAAACTCAGTGGGCTTCCAGAATCACAGTTATTACCAGGTATTTCATTAGGACATTACACCAATTATGACTAGACACATATAGATCCATCAGGAGGGCCTTGTAACAGTGGGTAGCATCCCCAATCTTCAGCAAGAAGCTCAGTATTCAGTTCCTAAGCCAAAAACTTGCTGGCAATGGAACACGTATTCTCACCAATCAGACCACTAATCAGGCAGAAAAATTTTACTGGTTGCCCGATGGCAGACGTTAAACATAGAAGGCTTTCTGGTCAGTCACCCTTTCAGAAAGCATATATCTGTAGTACTTTGACCATAAAAAAGTTACCCAATCCAATGGAAGCCCACAGCTGAGAAATGAAGGCATATAGATCCAAAGAGTCATCATTTTGGGCTCAATAAATTAATTAAAATTAAATCAGTTTTTCTCTTTACTGCCAGACTGGCTTTTCTGGCACTTTTTATTTCTGATCCCCAGCATCCATGGTGCTGTGTTTTTATTTGTCACTGCTACTTAAAAACGGTATTGCAGTTGTAACCGGTATTAGGTTATTGGTACAACTCCAATAAGTCACATTTAGTTACTGGTGGAATCAAAGTTGTTAACACCTCTGGGTTTAGCCAAGATAATTGTTCCTCAATAAATCAAGTTTCCATTCTTTCCCCCAATCCAGAACTTCTTATACAAAGTCCTGGTCGACAATCACAAGCAAAAATATTCAACATAATGGTAAGTCTAAGATTTCTGTGACTAACGCAACATTTGCAGACATAGTCAGCCTACAGAAATGCCTTTACAGTTGGCAACTCTTGTACTTGGATGGACTGGATTTTACTAGCTCACATCAAGTAGCCTTTTCAGCGCACTCCCTCAACCAAAAAGGATTGATTGTCGCAAAATAAATCTGCCAAAACAAATACATTCGTGGACATTTTTGAAACTGTGGGCAATATCAAGTAGGTGTTCACTTTGGCCTTTGGCTTTTTGTACAGAAGTCAATTAGCATACAAGTTTTAAAGAGCTAATGCATGTCATGAGGCCAGACTGAAATTTTGGAAACATCCTTCTCTCCAATCCAAACACTTTGTGCAAACGGAATATAGTACTCACCTAAGCAGGGGCACAGTACCCTCATGGGTATGTAACAGGCTATGTACCTGTGGCGCAAATGTTTTCAGGGACAATATTATAAATGGTATTTTGTAAGAATCAGGATCAAATTCATTTTCACTGTAAATGAAAAAAAGAAACAATGTTATCCTAGGGCACGCATTTATATTCATTTATTTCAAAAAAAAAATTTGCCATAATTCACAGTAGCAGAATACTACAAAAAACTGCCTTCAGGATGTGCAAAAATGTGCGCAAGACAAACACTTAAACATTTGGTCTCATAACATCTCCATTACTTTTGGAGTACAATGTCTTAAATAACATAGTACAGATAATAAGAGGAAGATTTTCAACATTCCATTTAAGAGTAAACATTTGTTGATAGAACATGAAAATGTGAATCTTACTTATAGACATTATTGGAGCAGTGCTGTTTGCAGATTGGCTCGTGGTATTCCAGTTCCTCAAATATAACTGGGCTGCAGTTGGATGATGAACCATCATATGATAATACAGAGCCCATTGGGCTCTGCCGAGTCTGACTGCTGGGCAGGAGACAAACCATTCTTCCATTCACTTGGTCACGGATAGCCACTGTGTCTGTTAACTTGTATAAATCCGACACAAACAATTTGTGTCCAAATCTAGAGGTCGGTAGATTCAAGTTACTTCAACAGGCATAGCATTTTCTGAAGCATGTTAGATCAATTTCAGTGCCACAAGGGATTACGTATAAACAAAATTAGCTTGATATTTGGAATATCAATACTGAATTAGACAAAATACTAATAACGAAAGAAACCAAAAAACTTTCTAATTTGCCAAACAATTTAATACATTTCAAAGTCTTGATGAAATGTAAAATTGTCAGGGCAAAGTTTGAACCAATTCCCAACTTCCAAACAAATATATTTTTGAAGACTTCATCCAAGTGCGATTCATCCATACACTCAAAACTGAAGAGGTGCAAACATTCTTAACAGTATAACACTAGTGTTTGAATTCTGTAGCTATTTAACTGAACTGAAACAATGGAACAGTTAAAAATGAGGTAAAATGAAATTTAATTCTTTCACGCAACAGAAGAAATCCACAAAAGGATAAAAGGGGCACCTCCTCAATCAATATAGGGATACAAGTCTCAACTTTTAAATTTATTCCCATATCACTGATTTCTCAAATCAAAAGAGGTGAACACGGTAAACTAAATCATTGTGTCAATAAGCTGAATGCTCTAACAGTTCAGATGTGTAATGAAAATACATACCTTTTTTCATAAATCTCTGTGAACTTGAACAGTGGCAAGCAACAGGCAGGGGCATCCTGCAGAATGGATATGGTTTCAGAGCTGTAATCAAAAAGCAAACATGATCAGTACAAGATATCAAGTTAGGACATTACACAAGTCATTATCAAGTACTTTGGCAAGATTTTGTTTTGACTATTTGGTCACCAAAAGCAATCCAAGTACAGATTGAGGTTTTTGTTAGAGTTTTTTCCTTAAAAGATGAAATAAAAATTAGTCGTATTTGCTGATTTTTAAAGTGTGGACTGTTGTTGCAGTAGACTGCAATGCTTCCTTTTGTTAAGGCAGATCAATACTGCAAAGAAAAAGGGAATGGCTTTCAATCACCTGAGAAATCAGAGCATGCAGATGTAACCATGACAGAGTCCCATAGAAAGTGGGTGAGTGTTAATCAAGGTGAAGAATGAACAATTTTGATTGGATTGTTTAGTGGTCATTTGTGCTGTTTACATGTTAAGATCTACTTTAACTCCTCAAAAATATCCTCAGTTTTAAGGCAAGCTTGTATACTTAGCAGATTTGTATCTGATTAACAGCAATGGGTTCAGGCCCAAAAGAATTTTTATAGTTATTCATTCAGCAGATTTGGGCCAGCATTTATTGCAAATCTCTAATTGCCCTTGAGAAATGGTAAATTAGGATAAGTTTAAAAAGTAGTTTGCAAAATTAAAACAGATTGAAAGTTGACAAATTCATGAGGATCCAATTACCTTAACCATGCAGTATTAACAAGAGATGGCTGCAAAATCAGTAGCTCCACGGGTGACAGCATTTTAAAATTTTACTCATTCCACAGGTGGATGGCTCCAAACTTAACTCCACTACTTAAGGAAAGGAAAGAAAATGGGGAGCCACAGATTCTTTAGCCATACATCACAAGTAGACAAAATAATAGAATCTATTGTAAAGGATGTGATGATAAAAACCAAAAGAACTTCTGATGCTGTAAATCAGAAATAAAAACAGAAGTGCCAGAAAAGCCCAGCAGCATCTGTGAAGAGAAATCAGAGTTAACGTTTCGGGTGTGGTGACCCTTCCTGTTCTGAGGAAGGGCCACTGGGCCTGAAACGTTAACTCTGATTTCTCTTCACAGATGCTGCCAGACCTGCTGAGCTTTTCCAGCAACTTCTGTTTTTGTAAAGGATGTGATTACTGGATATGTAGACAATAATTGCCTAAAATGGAACAAAGTCAACATGGATTTATGAATGGGGGAAAATCATGTTTGACAAACTTGATAGAGTTGTGTGAGGATCTTATTGACAGAGTTAGTATGGAAGAACCAGATGTAGCGCATTTGGAATTGCTAAAAAGGTTATCAAACTCTTGCTCAGGAGGTGGTTAGTAAACAAAATTAAAGCACACGGTAACATACTTGTGTGGATTGCAGATTGGTTAACAGGCAGAAAGCAGAAATAAATGAATCACTCTCAGGCTAACAGGCTGTGACCAGTAGGTTACTATAAGGATCAGCACTTGCGCTCTGACAGTTCACAATCTATCAATTAGGATATGGGGATCAATTGTAACGTGTACAAGTTTGCAGATGATGCAACACTTGGTAAAAACATGAGCTGTGAGGAGGATGTAGAGGAGCTTTAAGGGGACTTCAGCAGATTGAGCGAGCTAGCAAAAAGCACTGTAGTTAGAATGTAATGCGGCTAGTGACAGATCATCCAGTTTGGTAGAAGGAATGAGGTGCAGAGTATTTCTGGAATAGAGTGGGACTGGCAAGTGCTCATGTCCAAAGGGATATGGTATGATATAGGTGTCCTTGTTCACAAGAGTCACTGAAAGCTAGTATGCACGTGCAGCAAGTGATTCAGAAAGCAGACAGTTTTTTTTTTGGCTCCTCTACTCCAATCTTCTTGCAAAGTCTTGCTTCAAATGTATAGAACAATGCCGAAACTGTATCTGGATATTGTGGTTCTGCATTTCTTCCCTTAAAAAGGATTTACTTGCTCTCAAGGCAGTGCAGAGGTTCACCAAACTGATTCCTGGGATGGTGGGGCTGTCCTATGGAGGAGATTAGGCCTGTATTCGAGTTTAAATGAAGAGTTCAGGAGCAGAGTCTCAGACCAAGTGGGAAGTCACTTAGGACTTCTTCAGAGGATTGAGCCTTTCAGTTTTAGCTTTGAGGTGGAGAACTGCAATTAAGTGAATTCAAACAAGAGATTCGTAATTAAAAGTCTATGAATCAAAGGAATATGGGGGACAGCCCCCAGGATATGGCATTGCAGTAGATGACCTACCGATGAACTAGAATGGAAGAGCATGCTTGATGAATTAATGACCTACTCCTGCTCTGATATTCCTGCCTCAGCTTTGCTCAAAGTTGTTTTCTAATCTCCAATTATAAATGAAGTTTTAAACTGTGTTGGTAATTAGCTCTTTCCTCTAATCAGTAGCAACTTGGAGATTAAAAAACTATTTTACTACTGTAACCATCATTTCACATGTAGTATCAAACAGCATACCACTTGACATATAATGACCATCAAAACCCACAAGCTAGTTGTCATTATCCGTGTTACAGCTTGCTTACCAACTCCACAATGATCTATACAAGCCATCTGCTGTCACCCCAAATTGGAGCAAATTCTACAGCAAGCATCTTTTGAATCAAGCAATGGGAAAGTCAATTAGCAGTCACTAAATTCCTTTCGACAAACTTGATCTGCCAAATTGCACACTGTGACCTACCACAGTGAAAAGTGGGCCTTGCTAAACAAGTTAAAGACACAGATCCTCTGCAGCCAACCTCCAAGGGAGCCCGAATACAGGACAAACCTTTTGGAGACACAAATAATGCTACACATTACCAAGGAGTGCCCCTTGGGAGGATAATCTCTTCAAAATTCAGCAAAAGAGGTCACTGTAATGCTTCAGAGATTTGCTTTCACCGAATAAACTGCCTTCACCCTCTCCCTGGAAATAGTATGGTAAATAGTTCAGTTCATGAAAGGTACAAGCGAGTAAAGCGAGTAAAACAAGAAACAGAAACAACCTTACCCAAGTAATGCAAGAGATTTATTGGCACTTCCAGTAGCTAGTGAAACTTGGATTCTTTTGCTTCCAATTTTATATCTGTGCAAGTTATTGACAGCCAAGATCGCTTCCTGGAGACTTCCCATCTGAACTGTTGCCTTAAGCTGATAATCAGTATGAGGGCTTAGTTCAACATTCTTTACCTATGTATCCAGCAGTTGAGACAAACAAAGCTTCCAGTTATGATTCAATTTTAAGTAAATAGCTTTGTTTTCTTTAAGCTTTACAAAACTACTTGTTTTAAATTATTCGTGCAAGAAACTGGTCATTGATTAGAACACAAAATTACAGGCTATGAACAAACTAAACAAAGAAAACTCAATAGTCAAGATTATCTCTTATTGCCTAAATGGTGAAAAGCACCAGGTGTGGTACTGAGTCATATTGACCATACTAGGCCTGGTTTGACTTCATGATGCATGCCAATATGACATCACTCAACAGGAAAAAAAAAGTTGGGGTTTTAATCATTCAAGCAATAGCTCCCAGTGGGCAATTAGCAATCCAAAAAAAGTGAAAATATGTTTGATGAACTTTTTAAAACACCACTGTCAAAAAGTAGTCTACTTCTGGTCAAGTACTTCAATCTAGCTAAATTTGATGAGCTAGATTAACCAAACCAGAATCAAAGTCCATGGTCTATTGGGAAACTAACAATTAGCTATCTACTCAACACAAGATTAAAAACAATATAAACAGATCCTTTTATAGCTCTTAACCACAACAGATCCACAACAGTAAAATACAATTTGATTCTTAGTCACCTTCAATAAATGTAGTCCTCCTGTTCTAAGGGAGAAGATAAACATGAATATGACAAAAAGTAATAATTGCTATTCATTGTTACACTGGACATTTTGTGTGAATATTTCAGTGTAACAATTAAAATGAGATGCATATTCAAAATCTCAAACTGAATAATAGCAAACTATTTTGTCACAATTACAAGATGCCACAATACAAGTCACTTTCCAAATTTCTACTGCCAGTTTGCTTTTGAAAAAGCTCCTAAAATATTACCAGGTCAGAATCACTTATTCTCACTGTACAGAAATAAAAAATTACAAGTATGAATACTTCAATAAGCATTGGATAAAATATTGACGCACAAGCATAAAATACAAATTTTCAAACTTGACCGAGTCCAAGTCGGTCATCTTTTCCAAAAGCAATCCTGTCCCACAATCAATTGCTCAAGTGTACACTTAAATTCCACCCCCACACCCCTCCCAGGGTTCTCATTATTCCCAATGCAGCCTATAACTGACTTTCAAATTTACATTTCAAATTCAGTCCTAACCCAACGAAACTTTCAGAGCAAGTCTAGTTCGAAACACAGGATTTATAAAATAGCATAAAATTCACAACTAATAATGGACTGATAGTTAGAGCTTTACAGTTTGATTGGACTAGAGTTCAGGTACAAAACACTAGTATGCCCGAAATAAAAGTATTCAGCCAGTTTACCTTGCCATGCCTTAAAAAAATTTCATGCAGTATTTGTTGTAGCTCCTTTCTGGACATTCTGTAATCCAAGTTGCTGACTTGTACATCTGCACCATTTGCAAATGGGCCAGTGTGAGGGTCAGAATAGTGAGTTTGATTTGCTGGATTTGCACTAACAGAACAGAGCCTGTTTGAAAGGCTTGGGGATGGACTCCTAAGATAATTATACAACAGTCAAACATTGTAACATTAAAACTTTACCAGATATTCAAAAGCACTACTCAAGCCAAAACTTTTTAATTCTGAATTTGAGCTCTGAAACTCTTGCTACGAATCAACATCAGCTAGTTCTAATTCAATATTCTTTACCAGTGATTAATTTTAAATGCTTGTCTTCAACTCTTGCATGATGTTGAGTGTGTTTAAAAGAAAAGTAGACAAACGTTTAAAAAAGTTACCTGGTTGCCCAGGTACCGTGACCCGGAATAGGTGGTGTGTTATGTCTTGAAACTGACAGCTTAGAAAAAGCAGAAGGAGAGCTGACATGGAAATCAGCTTTCTTCTCAATTTTATCAATGGGAGATTCCAAGGAACTTCTGGAAGATGGAGTTTCTCTCCTATTTAAAAATAAATGTTAGGTTTTAAAACATCGCTTAAGGTTACTTCCTTTAAAAATTAGTTGACTGGTATTTACTACACTTGAGCACTAACAATGTTTGTGTGTCAGTGGAGTCCTATTTCCCACTTCTTTGGAGTGGAAAAATTACCCATAAATTTCCAAGTTTTTATTTTGTATGTAAATAACAACATTGAAGGTATCAAGTCATCATGTAGGACTCGATAGGCAAATCAGTCCACACCCAAATTTCACTCAGATGAAAGTACATGAAGTAATCGGTGCCTACTTCATCTCAATAGTCAGTATAATTATGCTCCAACAGTTTCAACAATCACCCATTTAAGTTTCATTTTTATTTGCAAGTTAATCAAAGTAAAAATCAGCTAGATTATAGGTGTTAAACAAAACTCACTTCATGTTCCCACTGAACGAATCACCATTTCCTACATTTTTAGCAGTGACTGGGGAATAAGTGGAGGTGCAGTTGCCAACTGGAGGAGATTCAGTTCCTTGCTTTTTGATCTTCTGGGTACGTACACTTTGCTTTGCTTTGGACTCCATACCACAGAGCTCCTTAGAAAATAAATAAAAATAGCCTCTTACAACCATGCAATTTAATGTAAAAAAAAAAAAAAAGGATTGACTACCCAAATCAAAAACAGGGAAAAGCCAGCCTTCAATCATGCTAAACAACTGTAACCAGTTTTCAAAACCAAATGAGTTTTAAAATAAAGATGGAGGAATCCAACTTGGTTCAGCTGTAGACAGAAGTGCAATAGTTAGTTAAAATGGGAGGGAACTGACGCTATAACAGTGCTAAAACACAGCTTGGCAAAAAAAAAAAAAAATTTTTTGTTTATTTAAGACTATGCTTCTAGTTACTAAACACAGCAACATCATTTCTCCATGAACTTCAAAATTTACGGCAGCTATTTCACATAGAGATAGATGTTAGCAAAAGCTCAATGGCTAAGACACAAAGGCCAAATTTTACTTTATCCTTCATGCCATGCCCAAGTGATTTGCCTTCACTTTGTTAAGTAAACAAGTTCAGAAAACTGTACTCAGGTTAAAGCAAACAAATGAATTTTTGTTCAATATTCGTGAAACTCAGTGTGACCCCACATTCCAAATGGAGGAGGAAATGGCTTCTGCTCTCAAGCCGTGATGCACACAGGATATCAGTGGTTATTAACTGTAGCAAGCCTTTGGCCTGAGGAATGTCAGATCAGCCATGATTCCACTAAGCGGTGGCGCAGGCTCCAAAGGCTGAACAGTCTACGCCTGTTCCTATTTGTGGCAAGCTAGTGCTTTAAAAGGTACTCCTCCAAACATTTTGTTTCTAAAAAGAAAAGAGAAAGAACCTGCATATATCATTTGCAAGTTACACACATTTGGTTTACATTAAAAAAAAAATCACAATCAGAAATATTGTTAAATCTAGTCTGTCCCTTACATACATTTTGCACAAAGTTTAATACATTCAGGAATTGTAAAGGTAACTCCACCCCTAGAACCTTCTCAAGGATATGGTGTGACATTAGTCACTGGACTGGACTACTTTCCACGCCTTCAGTGGTGTTTAGCCTTTCAGATGGCACTGCACACACTGGCTAGATTCTCCATCAGCTACGAGGACAGGCATACCAACATTAGCATCTCCGAAGCAGCTAATAGTACCAGAGGCCACAATCATCAGAAATCAGCTCCGCTAGGATACCCAAGTCTGGACTGCCAAAGCAAATCTTTGCACAATTCAAGGCAGGCACTTGAAAGAGAGGGGGACAAAGAATGGCTTTCAAAGCCTCCCTGAAGAGATGTTAAGCATGGGAAGATCCTTGTTCAGAAGAAACAGACGAAAGAAACTCCGTATGAAGGGATGCAATTCTTAGAGAACATCCATCTGCGAAAGGAAGTACAGAAAAGGAATGGAAAAAGGAATGCCAATGACTTCAAGGTCAAGGACCAATTCCATTTTCCAGAAGCACCTGCCAAAACGTGGTCGGAGACATGGCTCTAGGATCAGGCTCATCAGTCACAAGGATCCACAGAGTCCGTGGCCAGTTACACAGAATTTCCTAGGTGGACAATCACACGCATTAGCAAGTAATTGTTGACAACAATGAGATATCAGATTGATACTAGGTATCCTAGATTCATTAACAATTCTGTCAGCAATTTCATTATGCTCCAACCGGAAAGACTGAGGCAGCACTGTGCAGATGTGTTATTTTGGAAATTCAGTACATTTACAAAGAATCCAAATTCTTCACTCAAGCTATGGACCATTGCTGCTCATCAGATGTCAGGTACAGCACATGAAAATAAAAGGTGTTTTCCCAAAGTATTCTACAATCTCACTGACAGTCATTGATGACTGCTTGTTTGATATTCTGTAGTGTAGTGTAAACATTAATTAACAGTGACAAGGTGGTCAGTTAAGAAGAGAGAGATTTACCCCACACTTCAGTCAAGGTCTGTCTAGACTGTTAGAAGTCTGAGCAGCTCTTCAGCTCAGTTAGCTTGATATTCTCAAGCACAGCATTTGCTCGTGACCCCTGATCTCACATTTAGCTAGTAAAACACTCCTCTTGCCTTAAACTAGATGCAATTCCTCAGTGGCTTGCAAAGATGTAACTCAGCATCTCTTTCCTCTCATCCTTGTAGATAACGACAAACTCCTTTGCTATCACCAACTCGACACTCGTAACGGCAGCCGTATCCCCGATTTCCCGTTTCCCACAGCACATTTGCTTAGATCAAACTAAGCAAGTGTCTCTTCAGAGAGAATGTCTTTAAGTTAATGACTTCCAGATGATTCAGGAACTTTCTTTAAAAGGAAGGAAGTGCAGCCCTTGATAGCACGTCAATGTACTAAAGCTTAAATATAGTAGTCAATTGCTTTGTGTAGTGTGAAAAACTCAAAAGCACAGAGGTGGGATACCAGCACAAGATTTTGACTTATTTCAGCTGAATTGGAGTGGATTTTGCTTAGAATTTACTGCTTCGAACTGCAATTCTTTCTTCCCACTGTACTGGGGTCTCTGCTTTGTTTACACTGTTGGTAATTATCATCCCATCAGTGTCAACTTGGCCTGACAGCTTATTTTTGCAGCAATTTGATCAACTTCACAAAGTACTGTGAAGCTCTTGATGCATATAGGATCAATGTTTATCAGACATCGTATTAACGTGATGTTGTTCTTCTACAGTCATCATTCCAACAGTCAAGCTACTTTATTTACCTTGAGACTACACAGCGCCACCTGGTTCTAGGGCATAGGGTGACCAATCAATCAATCTCCATCTGCCATTTCTCCAGCAATCATTTTTATAGGCTTGCTTTCTTTCCAGCTTATGATTTAGCTTCTTGGAAGTTAGAGCACTGCTTTGTCCTCCATGATACTTTGGATCCTGTGGATTTTTCTGCTGATTTAGAATGCTTCTCAGCTAGTGCATAGTTCTCCCATTAATATTCCCCAGCTGATGTTTAACAGCCTCAGAGCTTCTAGATATAGCAAATGCTTCTCAAAAGGAAGCTTCTCTTCCCTGAGGAGACTCTCAAGACAAGATATCATGTTCCTACTTCAATCCTATCCTTGTTCAAATAATTCTGTTGTTAAAACAAGATTCAGCTAGATGCCCCAGTAGAGCCACATACAGAAATATTTGTTCCTTCTTCCAGAGCTCTGGTGTGAATCACAGTTCATAAATAACATTCGTGCTTTAAGTGAGTTAAGGCAACCAAAATTTCACAAGTCTGGCAAAATGGTGCCAATTTCACAGTTCTGCCTCTATGACTGGAGGAATTTCCATTTATTTCTCAAATCTTCATCTCAACAGGAGAAGGTACCAGAATATTCTAAACCATATTCAAGTAGCCAAAGTTTCAGGTTGAAGTTTTAATCAATCATTCTCTGTTCTTTATTACAGCAGCTAGATCTTACAGCTATAGAAATCCATTCTAATTCCTGTGGTATATTCAACACCATGAGCCAAGCGGCTTTTGCCCTCAAGCCTTTAAATCGAGGATAAGATATCATAAGACCACAGCACACCATGACTGAAAAAAAACTTCAAACACCTTCTAAACTATTCACATTAAAATTATCACAAAACCCATTTGGTGAACCACAGTTCTCTACAGAAGTCTAACATTCCAATTTTCCCATAGTATTTAGCTCACTCGTACTGCCAGACAATACAAGTATCCACTAACACTTCAAAAACAATTGGAAGTGATGAGAAATTAATGAGAAGTTACCTGCTAAAATTCCATCTGTGTCTACTGAAAGCTGCTAAACTCTAGTAACCTAGTAGAGACATTAATAAAACTCAATATTTACATCCTGAAAAACTGCTTAACAGCAATCCTTATATTTAGCATAATGGCAGGTCTACCAGAGGACTAAAAGCTTCCAAATGAAATGGTTAAGCAAACAGCTCAAACACTACATTAGAGCCTAAACTTCCATACTATAAGCAAACAACCACCAACTCAGTTCCTCAGCAGCAGCAACTATAAAAAAACAAGACTAGTTCTCTAGTCATTCTCCTTTCTTACCCTCCCCGCCCTGCCTTTTGATGCAGTACACCTGCAACACATTAACAAATCAACTTCATTGGATTTACATGCTGCATTAAATTTAGGAAATGGTTTCCTCTGATTAAGGATTAATGGAGCTTCACTTCCTATTTGCTGTTCTTGGCTTGCTAATTTGCATACAAAAATATATGCAGGTGCCAAGAAGGCAAATCAGTACGTTATTATCTACAATGCTGAACTATATTCTCTCCAGCTTTTGATTGCACTATTTATTTCCAACAATTCTTGTTTATTTTTAATTGTGTTGATACAGCTAGAAGTCAAACTCAAGCTAGAAATTGGAAGGAAACTATTTACAGAAACGAAATCTGTTGAGTCACTAACACAAAGCAAGTGGGAACAGCTAAACTATTTTGAAGTTAACTTTGAAAAACGAATTAATGGTATCATTTCATCAATCCTCATAACTGAAGAAAACAAACTTATTTCGAAGTGACTCTTCACTTTCACATTCGGTGGCTTCAACCTTGTGATATCTTAAATATTATTTTAGAATTGAACATATTCTCTACAGCATGAGGCAGCAATCCAATATGTGTTAGAATATAATGTGCAAGATGAACAATGATGTCATATTTGTGGTAATAGACATGAACTAAATTAAAATTAAACAATTCAATAAATGATGAAGAATTATTGCTGGCTTAGATTGAAAATCAAACAAAATCCTTCTGCAAAGTTAGGCAATAAGATTTTCAATTTGCACAACATCCAAACAGTACGCATGAGGAAGAGTTTCATGGACTGAAATCATAGTTAATTAATTTACTGAAATTATTTGAAGTGGTAACGTGTTGTGGATAAAGATTAAACCGTGTTGCAGTATTGTACTTAAGAGTTTCAGGTGGTATTTGATAATACGCCATATCAAAAGGTTATTGCACAAAATAATGTCGTGATGTAGGGACAATATATTGTCATGAACACAAGACTGGCTAGCTAACAGGAAACGAAGTAGACATAAATGTTTCTGTTTCCGGTTAGCAAGGTGATATGCCACTGGGATCAGTACTACCTCAACATTTTACAATTTAGATGAATAAGTTGAAGAAGGGACCCAAAATATGTTGCTAAATTTGCTGATAACACAAAGGTCGGTCGGAAAGTAAGGTGTGAAGAGGACGTTAGGACGTGATGAAAATAATTTGGTTGTCAGTGGGTAAAGATTCAGCAAATAGAGCATAATTTGGGAATTATGAAATTGTCCATTTTCACTGAAAGAATAAAAAGCATATTACCTAGATGGTGAGAAATTGCAGAGCTTTGAGATGCACAGTGACCTGGCTGTTCTCATGCATGAATTGCAAAAGGTTAGTGTACAGCAGTTAATTAGGAAAACAACAGCATCATTCACTGCAAAGGAAGTTGAATTTAAAAGTAGGAAAGTGATACTTCAGTTATATACGGCACTAGTGAGACCACATCCAAAGTACTAAACATAGAATTTAAGGAAAGATGTAAATGCTTTGAAAGTAGTTTGAAGATTTACTCACGTTTGGAATGGGGAGGATGCCTTACAAAGAAAGGGTGGATAAGTTAGACTTTTCTCAGCTACTGTTTAGAAGAGTAAGAGATGATTTTAGACTTGATTGAAACATATAAAATACTGAGGGGTCCTGATAGCATTGATGTGGAAAGGATAAGAAATTTAAAACTAGAAACCACAGTTTAAAAAAAAACAAATATTGTTTTTCTCACAGAGGGCTGTGAATCTATGGAACTCTGTTCCTCAAAAGGCAGTGAAGTAGACTTTGAATATTTTTAAGACAGAGGTAGATAGATTCCTGCTAAACCAGCAGGTGAAACGTTTTCAGGGCAGGTCAGAGTGTTTAGAAATTAGATCAGCCATGATCATATTGACTGGCAGAGCCAACTCAAGGAGCCAAATGGTTTTTTTTTGCTTTTAATTTGTACATTCTGACAAACAGGACAGTAGAAATGATGTTCGTAAATGAAGAAAATGCAGTTATGTGCCATATTAATCAAGATATCTTCACATACAATTAATTCTTTTGGGCTGCAGTCATTTAGATAAATATGGCACTGATTTAAACACTGAAGTCTTGCCAAGTTCAATTTAATCTATTTTGTTTGGCACTATTTGGATCAAGAATATTGCAAGGACACAGAGAATAGTTCCCTTTTAACAATCAATTGAATAAGCAGGAGGCTTTCTTAATGTCTCATAAAACATGTATATTCTTCGAACAAATCCAGTAAAAGCATTGAGATTGCAGCGTTTACTATCAAGTGAGACAATCCAATGTTTTATGGACAAAGTGGGTGCGGGTGTACAGAGAGGTGGGTGGGGGTGTACAGAGAGGTGGGTGGGGATTTGAGTGAGTAGGAAGGAAGAGAATTCCTAGGGTTGAGAGACATAAGGTTAGATATATAGTTCATAGCTTTCTATTAATTTGGGAGCTTAAGAATGTGTACACAGACATACTTTGACAGAAAATTGTTTGGATTACAAATGCATGTGTAAGATCAGCCATGAAAAAAACAAACAAGCTTTCTTCACTCAGTTTTGCATTTCTTCCTTTCTTTGCCTATTTCTTTCCTGGCAACAATGACTACTCTTAAGGATTGTTCTCCAGGACCTTTCCCAGGTGGTCATTAATTTTAAGAGTGAGGATCAGTGGACTATGTGAATTAGTAGGGAAAAACACAAACTAGCCAAGCTCTTTTTATTTACTGATCTAAATACATAAATTTTCAACAAGATTACTGTACATCAACGAAGAATAGAAAATGGGCATTAAACCTACCACCTCGTTATTCTCTACGTCTCTGCAACTCGCCATGTTAACATTTTTGGTCAAACTCAATTTCTAACCTCAATTTCATTAGATTGTATCACTGCAAGCCCCAAATGAATTACATCTAATCATTTGTATTGCACTGGATGCTGATGTAGATTTGGTTATTCTTTTTACACTGAAGATTTTCCATTCTTTTGCCATTCATACAGATTGGTCACAGTAATATCTTTTTGTCCTTTCTAATGGCCCAAATATAATTTGAGTTGCATTAAACTAATCATTTACCTGTAAACTTCTGACATTGTTGTCTTTAATTGCTGATCCTTGGGGTGTTGGCAAATTCTTCACTGTAGAATTTTTACTGTTCGGTAACTGATCATCAAGGCCTTTGTTCCGCTGAGAAAGTTTGGTCATCTTGTTTGCCTTTTTAGGGGATTTTGCTTTTTCAACTGTAAAGCAGTTATTTTTGCTCTCACAAAGATCTTTATTTTTTGGGGTAAATGATACCAGGATCTTATTGCCAAAGACATCTTCATTCTCCATACGTTTCTGTGCACGTTCAGCACTTTCTTGGCTTGTAAAACGAAGGATTGCACTGCTGCCAGTGATACTTAAAACCTTTCCACCACAATTGTCAGACAAACGACGCAGCCTGTTGCTTACTTGTTTGCTGTCTCTGTTGAGTGGTAAATTGTACGCATACAGAAGAGTATGACATTGCTGAAGAGCAAGTAAGAAAGTAAGTCAGCAACAGCATGTGGAAACAAGACAAATGAGAGGCCAAATTTTATTCTTAACGAAAACGCAAAGTGGATATTAACCTTATTTTGTGAATATACCTTTCAAAATACTGACAGAAGTTGCAGTATCCCACAATTCAATTACTTCTAACTGATACATCACAACTTCCAAGCATCTGAATTACCAATATAAAAACCAAAGTCATTCAGGTATAAATGTTACAGGAAAAAGGCAGCCTTACTGATCAGATAATAAAATCCAAAGACTGCACCAAGTTGGTAATGTACCCAAATATATTCCTAAGAGACATTCCCATTAAAAGCTACCAAAATATAAAACAAAAAACTGAAAGAACTGTGGATGCCAGAAATCAGAAACAAAAACAGAAATTGCTGAAAAAACTCAGGTTTGGCACCGTTTGTGGAGAGAAAGCAGAGTGAATGATTTGGGTCCAGTGACCCTTCTTCAGAACTGATGGTAGCTGGAAAAAGTTGGCATTTATGCAGAAGATGGGGTGGGAGGAGGTGGGAGAGAGAGAGAAACACAGTTGGCCAGACAAAGGAATGGGTAAAGATCAGCCTGGGAGAATGAATACCTGCTAATGCGGACTATTAGTTGCTGACAATGGGTGGTGTGCAGTAGCAGCCCATGTGATGACAAGGCTTGGTGTGCAGGGGTTAGGGTAAGGACTCGAGTTGAACACATTTATGGCTTGAGCACCTTCTCCCATGTCCTTACCCCAACTTCCACACACCAGACCTTTACACACTCCTTTGTCTGTCCAGCTGTTTTTCTCTTTCTTTAGGCTCTATCGCCACTTATCGTTTAGTCCTCCCTCTCCCTATCTTCTGCATAAATACTAACCTTTGCCTTGCTACCATCAGTTCTGAAGAAGGTCACTGAATCCAAAATGTTAGCTCTGCTTTTGCTCTACAAACGCTGCCAGACCTGCTGAGTTTTTCCAGCAATTTCTATTACTACTAAAATACAGACTTTTGGGGGAATTATTTCAGATATAACATTTTATTTACAATTTTGTTATAAGGTAAAGACACCAGGTTGTATCAGACAAATGAACAGTTGCAGATAGGGCAAAATTTCCTAATAAACAATTATTTCAGTCTCATTTGACCTTAATTATCGAGATTTCAATGATATGTTAATTTTAAATTGGATAGCTTAGAAAACACTTACTGGTGTTTTTTCCGGTAATCTTGGTGGTAAGTTAGAAACAAATTCCTCAAATTTGAAATGCTTATGTGCATGCTGTAAAAGTGTATCTGAAACTTGATTCTTATGCACCAAAATAATCTGAAAACCATGTCGATGTCGAAGATCACTCAGTTCTAAGGCAAAATTAACATCAGCTGCAAAATGAAAGAAGTCATAATCATTAAAAAAAATAATTTCTGACTGAAATCAAACTCAGCCTTCTATTTTGAAATACAAAAGCTGGACACAGTTTCCTCAATGTTTACTCTTGTTCAGAACTTTATCAAGAAATGTTTGTGAAGGGTGACACAAATTTAAACCGCTTGACTGCTTTGCAATATTTGTCATGAACTCCACCTAAAAGAATACACACATGCTGTTACGAAATACATCAATATTCATCACTCCATCCATTCTGAATCTCCAAACTTAAAATGACCAGATGTTTAGTAGTGTTCATTCAATATTTATATATTTCACTGAGACAAACAACACTACCAAGTTGCTGGCTGAAAACCTTTCCTCTCACAACAAATATTTCAAATAAAAATAAGAATTTTGCACGACGATTTACTTACAGGACACCAAAATAACAGTGGACGGAGCTGTGTGAGTGTCAGCAAATCGTCTCAAACTTTGTCTAAGTTTGTCATCTGCAGCATTCTTTGCTGTTGCATTGATATGTGCAACTGTCACCTACAACAAAGGTGATAAAACACTAACTTTTAACCACAAGTACAAGTACTGTCTCATATTGATAACTTAAGGGGTGAATCAAGAACAAGGGAGATACAGTTAACCTAACCTGACACAATCAGACTGAACACCCATTTTACAACCCATATGATTTTGAAGTCAATGAAATTTAAAATTTTGGCAATATTTATCTGAATGCAAAAGTCATCACCATACACTCACCAACCTTCCTAAAGTCTAAAATACAAGAAACATTAATTTTTTTTTTACATTAAAAGATTTACATTTATAACTTACAGCACACTTCATTACTCAGTTGTTTGGTATTAGCAAGTTATAAAGCTGTTTTACCTGGCAGTTGTTAAGTTCCTGGATAACTTCCTTGTTCTCTTTGCTAATATCGCATACACACATGAATTCTGCCTCTCTGTGGCCTTGAAAAAATTGCTGCCGGATTCGCTGTACTATTGTCATGGCTGATCGTCCTGTGGGGACAGAACAATTTTCGATATCCCAAAATACCCCAATAGGAGGTAGATTCTCCTGCTGTCCTACTGTACCAACATCAGGTGATCCTGTAAAATAAAATCCCACAATTGGAACCACATTTTCAAGTGTACTTTCGTTGTTAATGAAAACTTCATTCCTCTATCATTTTATTATTAATTCAAAGATATTATAAACATTAGACTGCGTATTCAATTATAATTGACTTATTATTGAGGGTTTCCAAAAAATTTTGTTATATGAAAGTTCATTGGTAATTGCAACATTTTCCATACAATATACTGATGTAAGTAATATTTTGGAAGGGCACACAAAGGAAGCAAAATGGTTTTCTTGCTAAAAAATATTCTGAAAACAGCTTTATTTGCACAACTGAAGTTTTTAAACTGGCTTTGAGGTATTCTTTTCATTTAAAATTAATATAAAAAGAATCTCACTGTTTACAGATTGACAATTTTAATTCATTCAGCAACATTATCCGACTCTTGAAATGAAATTAATTTTTGCACATTTGAGTACAACAATTGAGGTGTGACCTGAGAAGTGATTTATTTATTGAAGGAATTCATTCAAAAAAATTGAAGAAATGACAATGAATTGACAACCAAAGCAAGATCATCGAAATGCTGCCTAACAAAATTCAACAGATGTGTTATTAATTGATAACACAGTGTGGAGCTGGAGGAACACAGCAGGCCAGGCAGCATCAGAGGAGCAGGAAAGCTGACGTTATGGATTGGGACCCTTCTTCAGACTTATTAATTGAAAATTAATAATGTAATTAATTGAAAAGCTTACTTGGGTGGAACTAAAGGAATTTGAGTAAGACAGACATATTGAAAATTCAATACAGAATGATCAATAGTGAACAGCAAATGCCAAATCTTCTTTCAGTTCTAACTTATTCTGATTAGACATGATTATCATTCTTAATTAGTCTAAGGAAGAGCACAAACAGATTCTGAAAAACAGACAGGGACAACACATCAGATAAAGCACAGTTGGTGATTGCCACTCATGGACATTATTACAACTGGCTGCACCATGGTCTTTGACAGCCTGTTCCCTTATGACTCAATGTTTGTCTATGCCACTGTGGAACTTAAGGTTCACTTTGATCCTAATCTGCGCTCTGCATGCTGAGCACAAGCAATGTATAACTGCCTTGTGTAATTCAGTGCTGGGGTAGGGTGAGGGGAATGAACAAGGGTTGGGTTCATGGGTGGAGAGGCCAGTCGCTGTTTCTTTCTTTCCTTTAATTCTCCCTAAAAACTACATATCATGTCAAAAGAATATTAAAATTGACTGTGAAGTGTCCTTCATATATGCATCATTCTTTACCTATGAAAAATCATCACTTAGCAACCTCTTGATTTTGTTTTTTTTTAAGTTTGCTTTCCTTGATCTAACTTATAATTAAACAGCTCTCTATCTGTGTGCTTTTTCCAGTTGTTCATTTATCTTTGTAGTCAGTTTGTAATTCAATAATTTTGGACTGCTGGTCACCAGGAATTTAGCAGACTCTCAAAAATTGAATTCTTTATCTAACTACTCCTTCCTAAGAAATACAACTTTCTTGAAAAAACAGTGGTGGTTCTCAATGTAGACAAATAATGATTGATATTGAACTCCCTACTTCACTTTTAAAGTAAAAGTTGATCTTTAATGGGAAGGAGCATCAAAGCATAAACAAGGATATTACAGTCACACATACCAAACTTTGGTGGCTGGAGACCCAAGTTTCCTGTTAACGTTGGTGCCTCTGCAGTTTGACCTTCGGTTTGAACACCATTGCACAATGATATGGGGACTGGAACAGACTGAGCAGGAGGGGCAATATTTGGCCAAATCTTTTTAACATCTACAGCAGGACGTCTGGGTGGCTGCAAAAAGATTTAAGAAAGGAAACCAGAGCAACTTTCAGACTGGACACAAAGCAACCTACTATCACGCAAATATACAAAATTATTATTCCTTCAAACAGAATATCTAGCGCATGTTAATTTTTATGTATTTACAAAACCAAGACTGTTGCATGCACAGTTTCTGCTGTTTATAATGCAGGTAATTCTGCTATAATGTGTGTTTCGTTAATGCGAATTGGCTGTAATGTGATTGATGAATAGTGGACATTGTTTGGATAACGCAAACTTTCTGCTCTATAGGTACTGCAATTTCCCTATAACCCAATTTTCTATAGCGTGGGGTCACATAAGAATGCAACTATCACATTATAGGAGAACTACCTTTACTTGTAAAGTCAGTTGGTCAAACTTTCAGAAAAGTCTATGTTTGATTATAAACTGCAAACTTCTTGTTTTAAGTAGCAAATAATAATAATAGATTATATAATGCACTTTTTTTATTTTCCCAATTTATCCAGTTCTGTATTAAAATGCATTTTTAAGTGTCTCTGCAAAGTTTCCTGAACGTAGTGTAATATTTTAGGGCACGATGATTACAGACCAGGGATGGAATTTTTGTTCCCAGGTCCCAATCTGCGGTGAAATGAGGGTAGGGAACTCACAAACGCTGGTGGAAGTACCTGTAGGGTGATTTTGGAAGAATTGCCAAGCTGATCACATGAATAATATCCAAAAGAGAAGAAATAAAAGTCTCTAAAAAGGTTACAGTGGGAAAATATCCAATGTAAGGAACATCAGAGGGCTGTTATAACTAATTTCAATCCATCAGCAACAGTCCCACAATCATCCTTTGAATTCCTAGACTATGTGCCTTAAAGCAAAATCCTTCTGGATTCTGATTTGCAATTTCTGCTCTCAAAAGTGCACATATATGGATATCATAAGAAAGACAGGATCAAGCTCACAACGTAATGACCCTTGCAAGATTGAACAGCATGCTATGAATACTCAACTGGTATAATTACTGGACATGCATCAGTTAACTGTAAACTGATGTACATTTTATAATAAAGGGGAATAACATGGGGCAAGGAGCAAGTGAAATAAGGTTTATCATAATGCAGTACACATTTTGGGGAAAGTGAGAAAACAAATTATCTGCCACAGTGATTCAGTGGTTAGCACTGCTGTCTCACAGCATAAGGGATTTGGGTTCAATTCCACCCTCAGATGACTGTCTGTATGGAGATTGCACATTCTCCGGGTGCTCCGGTTTCCTCCCAGTCCAAAGGTTAGGTAGATCAGCCAAGCTAAATCACCCGTAATGTCCAGTATGCAGGTTAGGTGGCTTAGCCATGGGAGATGTAGCATTATAGGGATGGGGTGGGTCTGGGTGGGACGTACATTGCACGGTCTGTGTGTACCCGATGGGCCAAATGGCTTGCTTCCAAACAGTGGGGATTCTATGATTCTATAAGAAAGTAGTTCAATTTTATATTATGATTTTAATTATTTGTACTTACAAGTATGTAAGATTTGTGTTTTGGTCGACACTCAAAATGCGGATAGTGAATTTGTTCTATTAGAAGACCAAATAGTGTTAATGCTTTCTCAGTTACAATTAAGGATTGAGAATGGAGACGAGGTTATGCAGAACAAAAAAAAATGGAATGTGATTGGTCTTGGCGTTTTCTTTACATAAGAGTGTTACTGATATGACTATGCCAAGAGCTATTTCTGTGCCATCACATTTTTTCACCTTTACAAGATCTAGTCTGTTAAGTATCACTAAAGCATAAAAACACTTCTCTAGTTACTTGCGTGTTGCATAAATAGTTAATGTGCAATACAGATTAATGTACCTTTACATAAAGATTAATATATCTCATATAAACTGAACAATCTGCTCATATGTAAACTTGTCAGCTTTTTAAAACTGAATTCAAGCTTCAAAGCTTAAAAACTTGAACTATTTCTAAAAGTTTACTTGTTTACCATTTTAATGTTAAATGAAATAAAGAAAAATAGGTTAATGAAATTATACTAACCTTGTTCAAACAATCATCACAACAATGTGAACCCTTCAGAAACATAGGTGCCGTGTGAAACTGTAAAGAGTTAGTGCAAACACGTGTAGGTAGCTCAGCTTGACTCATACGATCTTCCAAGTGCCCACTAACCCCACCTGAGAGCTCCATGCAGGAAAAACAATTGGATGCATTGTAGTTTTGTGGCATAGGAGTTTGATGCTGCTTGTGGACATTGCTGTGGAAAGGTTGCAGCTGTTTGAAGAGATTTCCACAACAAGACAGGTGCTGGGAAAGAGATGGCTGAAGCTGACAACCAGAGACAGCATTCTCTGAATAGGGGCCAGCTAAATGATCATTAGTTACAGCCACTTTACAAGATTTTGATGAATGTAAAGTAGGCCTCGAGCCTATCTGACACGTGACTGTTCCAGCATTTGTGTGTTCTAAAGCTCCACCATTTACAGAGTGAATGCAACCACCACCATTGGGAGTGTGGGGGGAGCAAGAAGCCTCATTGCCACAATGAGGACAGCAGCTTACTTTCGTGCCGGTTGACTGCTGCTGTTGAAAAGCCTGAATGTCAGAAGGTGGAGCACTTGCAAAGAACCTAGGAATAGCATGTTGGGAGGGAGGTGGAAAGTCCTTCAACTCTAACTTGGGTTTGTTGTTCTCCATGCAATTTTTCTAGAAAAAAAAACAAAATACTCAGGATGAGTATCTAACATTCTGGTACATATATACAAACATACACATTAGGAGAAAACAAGGCTATTCGGCTCTTTTAAGCCTTCTCTGTCTTTCACTAAGATTATGGCACATGTGTTTGTGTTTCGAAATCCACTACCTTTGATTTCACTACTTGACAAGAATCTACCTGCCACCACCTTAAAAATATTTAATGGTCTTACTTCCACCATTAATGAGGAAAAGAGTTTCAAAGTTGCACGATCTTCTAAATTTTTTTCTCATCTCTGTCCTAAAAGGGAGACCTCGATATTTTAAACAGTGACCCCTGGCTCTGAACTCACCCAAAATAGGAAAATCCTCTCTACGCCCAAATCCTGTCAATATCATTGAGGATCTTATGAACGTCACCCTCATTCTTTGAATGCCAGAGTAAATAAGCTGAACCTGCCATTAGTAAGGTACTAATGTTTACAATATCGTGGAAATTATTGTGGATATCCATTTTAATGTGTCTTACTTTATAGATCCAAAAGCAATGAAAAACATTAATCAAATTCACCAATTAAAGTATCATCATGATGCAAATTATGTACAGATACAGATGAGTTTATTTAAGGATGTTTTGTTTGCTTTCAAGTTTGGCAACAACATTTGTGTACCAATTAATATGCCTCATTGAGGTTAGCACAGAGATGGTCCTTATCGTGGAGTGAGAGACCACAATTAAAGACCAATATTACTGCAAGTTTTCAATTTCTTTCCCTATTTCTAGCCACAGAAATATTAAAGTTCTGATGCTCCATCTGTAGGTAATCCCAAATTCCTAATTATTTATCCATACTGAGCAACATTGATTATGTGAAATAATTACTTTCATCAGAATTGTGAAACAAACTACCTTCTGTACATGCATCCATCCTCAAATAGCAGTGCAGTTACTCAATAACTTGTATAGGAATATATCCAGACTAAAATACTGGTTTCAAATTTCAGCTATTGTACCTGCAGGTACGTAATGCAATGTGACAATTTACACTGAAAATTTCTATCACAACAACCACGAGTATTACATGGAATTCAGTGACAACAACAAACGATTCTAGGTTTCCAACTGCTTTGAAATTCATCTATTATGGTGAAAGATTCAATTGTATTTGTTAAAAAAGAAAATTTGTTACACGGTGATGAACACTGTTGATAAATGGACAATATCTCTTCGTACATGGAGGAGAACACTTAAAATGGCAAAACTTAATTTATACCTCTGCCATTTTATTGTTTTTGTAAAAATTATTCCACAACTGAATCAAGTATGTTGAATTTACACAAAATTAACATTAAGCTCTATATCTATATTTTCTAGAAATGAAATTAAATTAAATTGATACTATTTAATGTTGCAGGTTGCTATTTTCCTATTAGAGTGGTCAACTCTGAACTATGCACATTGCATTCAGAAAGCAGAAAAACTTTGCTTGGACTGAATACATTACTTCATAAGTAATTGTATTATTTGTTATAATGTAAGGCATAATAGTAGATACAAGTTGCAATGAGAATTTACCGTTTTGCTACTGGTCGGTAATATCTGTTCAACTGTTGAAAAGCAATTGGAGATTTTCCAGAGCCAAGGTTTTGAAACACTGCCATCATTGTCTGCTTGATTCAGCCATCCAACAGGCTTACCACAGAAGGAATTCTCCTTTCTGTTTCCATCCATTATATAATCTTAGATACTTCCTCGGCATCCTCTCATCCGTCCTTCCTTTCATGCTTCCTTCCTGCACTTTAAAAAAAGCAAGTTTTGTTTGGAAGGAAACAAGGAAGCAGCTGCACTAGGTTATTATCTTTCATTTAGTTTTCTCCAGCTTGCACCAGTTTAAAACCTGCAAGCAAGTCAACATAATTTAATTAACTTCTTTACATTATTATTACCATAAAGCAAGTTGCTAGTTGAACACTACATGAATGCACACAAAAGAGCAGTGAGACAAATCAGATTTTCTTCAATTCAGCCAATAATCTTGGGATATTCAGATCGTTCTACCATCCAACAAGATACAGCTTTTCATGTAGATTGAAGTAGTAAATAAAATTAGTGAGATAACTAAATTTACTAGTGTGTGTCTGTAAGGCTGTTAGATTGTTTTTAAGCTGGACACATTCAGGGTATACTTAATATTAGGTTTGAGACTCTGCAAAGCATGACACACAGTCTTTCTGTGAACTTTATTTGAAAGGTACAGGCAGATCGTACATTACGCAGCCTGAGAGATACCAGTAGTTTCCAATCTGAATCTGAATCAACTAAAATTCACGTACACTGGAGCTGCTCACAGGACTAAAAGCACTAACGTTACAAGAATTGTACTGCAGTGGTAGTAAAACTACCACAGACCAGAAGGCTTGGATTCAAGTCCCACCTTGTCCAGAGGTATGTCACAACATCTTTGAATAAGTTGATTAAAAATATATCTACATCAGCATTGGCACATTTCGTTCCAGCCCAAAAAAATCATGGGAGGAAATCCTGTAAAGGCAAAACTAAAACTAACAAATATATCTCTGTCCAAAGGGCACTCATTCAAACAAACACGCTCTTTGTCTCAGTTATCTCTTTAATGATTATAACGAGGTCAGCCAGGTGGATCCACAGAATATGAGCTCCCCAATTGGGGCTCTTAACCTGGTCCAATCAGGGCGTCCTGGCTACAGACATAACCAGTGTGTTAGAGGTTTGGCTCGCGCTGAGAATGCTGGACCAGTGTCAAATATAATGCATGTGGCCTGTATGGAGTAATCTCAATCTTGTCACTGACAAGATTGTCAGTTAAGGTCTTATCAGACTAATGTCTATGGATTCTTCTGTATTAAATTTTTTAATGCTTTACTTGGAACTAAATCTTGCTTGACATGAATAGAAAATTGTATTTACTGCTAAACTTTATACAGAAATCCATTACAGATATTTGTTACAGTGTATGCTGTAGTTGTAAATATAATTGTCAACCCTTACATAGATACCAGTAAGCAAAAGATTCAATTATTCAAACATATCTTTCACTGCTATCAGTAACAAGATTGTTGGGTAACTTTCAAAATAATCCCCCAAGCTTTTAATTTACAGCAAATGTGATGCATTTACAGGAATAAATTAGATCTTACAACTAAGACTTAGACAAAAATGATTAAGATCTACTATTGTGTCATAAAGTTTATAAAATGACTAGCTATACAGTCATCTTTGAAATTGAACGCTACTGATGCAGGGTGAATTTCATGGGCTGTGATATTTTATTATGAAACTGGGTCATACTACACTAAATGGAAATCAAATAGTGTCGTGCAGTTGTTATCTAGAATTCGATTTGTGATAGATTTGTGATTTGTTGCTAGTTGTATTACTTTTGACTACCAAGAAATTTAAAAAGCAGTTACTGAAATGCCAAATTATGTCTTCTTGTCCTCAATGTTTATAAGGTAGCCTCCAGATGCAATGGTACTTCAACAAAACTGCATTCTTATCAATGTTCAAACTGACTGGATCTGTTTAATACCGTGTTTTATGTGGGATAATTAAGGATCAGGAATCAGAAGTAAAATTATAGGTACAACTTCAGAATTCAACAATTCCTACGTCATGTCATTAGAAGCCTCCTCTCCAAATGAAACTGACCTCTAATAAAAACTAATAATAATTGTGGTAAGTGAAACAGTCTAAAATATCTACCAGCTAACAACATTCTTAACCAAATTTCATGATCTTTATTTCTTGAATTTCCACTTTACGTGACAATGATTGCTAACGTCAGTTATGATGGATTAAGATCAGAATCCTTTGAGATTCAGAGTGTGGACAAACAGAGATAGTAGGAACTGCAGATGCTGGAGAATCCGA